GTTATGCTTCAACCTGCACCACTCTCTGTAGCCCGTGGCCCGTGTATCTCAATCGAGGGTACTCAACTGAAGACCGTGGATGGGTTTACTTACCTTGGTAGTGTGATCTCCAATGACGGCTCCCTCGATAAAGAGATCAACAGCAGGATCTGTAAAGCCAGCCAAGCACTCGGCAGACTGAGAACTCGAGTCTTGAAACAGCATAACGTTAAGTTATCCACGAAGTTGAAAGTCTATCACGCAGTTGTTATCCCCAGCCTCCTGTACGGCTGTGAGACTTGGACTCTGTATAAGAGACATATCAAGCAGCTGGAGCGCTTTCATATGCGCAGTCTGCGCTCGATCCTTGGAGTTCGTTGGCAGGATAAGGTGTCTAACCTTGAGATTCTTGACAGAGCGGAAACCATCAGTATTGAAGCTCTCATACTCAAAGCCCAACTGCGGTGGACAGGACATGTCATCCGTATGGATGACACTAGGATCCCTAAACAACTTTTGTACGGCGAGCTTTGCCAGGGGAAAAGAAAGAGGGGTAGGCCTCAGAAACGTTTTAAAGACAGTATCAAGGAGAACATCAAGTATGCTGACATACCCCCTAAACAACTCGAGAAACAAGCACAGGACCGCTGTGGCTGGCGCTCGCTGACCAAGCTTGCGCAGGAGAACTTTGAAAAGACACGCCGTAAAAATATTGTTGAGGCTAGACAGAGACGCAAAGCAGCGGCAGCAGCAGCAGTGACCAGGGAGCAGAGTCCGTCCCAGTTCACCTGCGAGCAGTGCGGACGACCCTGCAGATCCAGAATTGGACTCCTGAGCCACTTGCGGGCGCATAAAAGATGAGAAGAGGACGCAACGTAGAAGTCATCATCGGCAACGATGGACAACCACGATAAGAGGTTGGAATACTTTCAAATCGTTCATTTGCCATTCACCTGTTTTAGCTACATCTACATACCAAAACTATTTCGGATCGGTCCTTACCTCCCAGTTTGTTGGCGAAAAGAGACAGAAAGGCGGTGAAGTTCATCTGGGCTGGTGACTCCTTGATCATACTGTCCACCAACTTGTCGTTAGGCTGCTTGCCTGTGGCAACATAAAAAACTTCAGTTCTATGCGTGGAAATGATCCTGATTCTCGTGTAACATATCGTGTGATTTCACTATCACATTGTAGATATGACCCACATTCATATATCAACCTCATAATAACAACAGTACAGATGGTGTCATGAAAACATAATTTTATCAAGGATCAATATATATAGTAAGTAATGTTGTATACTAAGATCATTGTCAAAATTCGAGCTTTTAATTTTCTTAGGTTTTCGAGAAGACAATATAAGGTACGTAAGGTACGTGTTGAGTGGTCAGACTGAGGCATGGGAACGAGAGTTGCGCTTACCTAGTGACGCAAACATATCTTTCAAGTCGTCGTTCCCGATGAATCCGTCCCTGTCTTGGTCTATTAAGTAGAAAGCCTGTCAAGGGACAGTAAAATAATTACTTTTCAATAGTCTTGTGTGTTGGTGCTGATAGGATTTTTGTTCACTCAACACATTGCTATACTACACTGCACTATCATGTATTATACTATACTATACTATACTATACTATACTATACTATACTATACTATACTATACTATACTATACTATACTATACTATACTATACTATACTATACTATACTATGCTATGCTATGCTACAGTAATATCATGTCACAAAATATATTGCACTTTTTTTGCTTACGATGGAGTTGATTTAATAACGGTTAAAACAGATACTTAAAATGTAATCTGATGTCTGGCATCATGATTTGCATATATTGGGTTATCATAGATCATTTATTTCGATAAAGCTAGTCTCTTTTTATAATGTAAAAGTTGCTGACAATAACTACAATGTTGTCATCTCAGCAGAGCAAACCCCCTTAAGAAGTCAGAATGGAATCTTCCGCTCCAATTCCTGACATACTTAAGATTGTGGCTTATGCCAACATTTACCTAAGCCCGGGGGATGAAATGCTCCAACTCTGCGGTTGCCAAATAGGCAACTAGAGTATCAATGTCGTGTGCCTCCAATTAGAGTATTTGCTTGGGGGATTACAAGTGGGTTTTCCCTTTTCAGTCAAATACAAGGTGTATTTAAAAAAATATATAAGGAATGGGACGACGTTTTCAGTCGCCAGTTCTATCAGTTCAAGTGAGTTTGTATAACGTAGTTTGCATAAATCAATGCATAAGAGGAATATCTCAATGGAAATATCGTAAGTCGTCAACCTAAAACCTCTGCCCCCTCCCCAACCCTATTATTTAAGTAACGTTCAGTTCAAATCATACAGTTGAAAAAGGGACATACTTCGTCCTCTTTGGTAGATTTGCAGTTTACATTTCATCACCCGTTATCGAAGACGGTAACTAAAAGTAAAAATTTGCTTCCTTTCCAGCTCTGCACTTTGGTCAACAAAATTTGTCTTGACAGATGTGGTGGGAGGTGGACCCGATGTTGGAAAGGATACCCCGGGTGAAAAAATCCCTCTCAAGTCTAGACATAGTCTGATATCCCTGTGTAGTTCTTGTTTAGCAGCGCACTAGCGTTACAACCGCGTAACACGTTTTCTTACCTCCTTCATCTCCTGAATCTGTCCTTTGTCGAACATGGCGAAGATGTTGGTGCTCTTCCTGCCATACTTTCTCTTTCCTGCTGTCTTCTTACGCGGCTTTTAGAAAGAAACGAAAAGTGCAATACGTTTGAAAGATAAGGATATACCTTAAATAAGCGTCTCAATGTATGTATGGCAAGGTCTCATGAAATAAAGGCATGTACTCAATACGCCGTCTCAACCATACGAGTCAAAATGTAAGCCAACCATTTAAGCTCCATGTTCTTGTACTAATACTCTTAGGAAATCTATAACTTACAACCTTACAGAAAGACTTAACATTTATCGAAAGTACGACAACATAAGTAGACTCACCATATTGCTGTAATTTTCTGCGAGGTTCTACGGCAAAAGACCCGGCAAGAAGAGGCGCTCTCCACCAAGACGACAGATACTCGGGACGGGGTCCCCTTGCCAAGTAATTAGTGTTAAATACTTCAGAAGAGCGAAATAATTTGCTTTCGTCTATTTATGGTATCCCGCGGGGCCCCGTCCCTCCTTCCCGCCTTTTTTGGATGAGTGGGCCGAAGTCTTCTTGTCGGTCCAAGTCGGCCAAGAATTCTCCTGTCATTTGTTGGTAGCCGCTGACGTATAGACCTGTGCCCAAACAGTTCTCTCTACCGTTCAATTGTAAGGTAACTTGGATACTGAGGTAACTTCATTTCTGGAAACAACAGACAGTAGTAGTTTATTCGCTGGTTTGTGACTGAAGCTTAAGGGAAACATGCGAGACTTCTGTATTTGGTCATAGGCGTTTGAGTGTGTGCATTTGCAGACGCTTGTCTGTGGTGAGATCTCGGGTATTTATAGCAAAGGACAGGAAAGCACTTTCGGTACTGTTAGTTAGATAGATGCAGGGATATGCCGGCTTCAAACCAAATCATAATATTAAATTTGTCTGGAACAATGGACTTAACGGAAAATTCAGAAAATTTGGAAGTTACAAAATATTTGCAACAAGTTAATGGTAACTGAAAAAAAAACCCATAAATTCTAGCTAAACGGAAAGATATACTGTTTGACCATACGACAGGCCCTTGCATAGGGAACTAGGGGATGGTCCGTTTCACCCATTAGGGGTGATTGTTTTGGTTTGCTCATTTTCACCTGTGTTTTCTAAATCCGGGTACAAAGAAATACTGGCACGTAAAGGGGCGTAACTCAATAAAATATCACTTTTAGAATAGAATAGAAGATGAAATGTTGCTTAATCTACTTAAGCTTAATGGAGAGATTGTTATTTGACGAGTTTCAGTAACGACTCCCCCCCCCCACACACACACACTAAGCACACACACAAACAAACTCCCATACTAAGTCGATGAAAGTAGGATCACATATTTACAAGGACCCTTCTTCATCCAAATGCAGGGCATACAAAGTCAGACTATAGCTGGGTAGTACAAACGCCAGCTAGCGGTTGCGACCATACCACACACTGATCTACCAGTACCACACACTGATCCACCCAGTAGCCCTCCTCTACAGTCTACAACCCTGGCCACACGGCGACCTACGATTTAAGATGCTACACATGCAGTCTGCCACGTTTGACAGTAGTCTTTGCTAGGTCATCCTAAACCCTAGGCGATAACCTGTCAATTACATATTTGGGCCTTCGAAGTAAATCCGGTCGAACGTCAAGTCACAAGAAAAACAACTGAGCTCAGCCCTTTGCGTTAGCGTGTATGACTCACCACTGAGGTCACATGTCCATTTGACCAAGAGCCAAAAAATTGACATTTCCTTCAGGAAGCTTGCGGTGACTACCGAACATTTGGGTAAGGCATGTCTCTTAAGCTTATAGGGACTGGGGTTTGGCTTTAGATACATGTAAATAGTCTTTAAACTATTGTTCGGGAGTCCTTTTGGGGTAGAATTTGTGCTGTCTTAGGTCTTGGTGGTTGCGACCATGCCACCTGTTTTGAGACTAACTGTACTACAAATGAACCCTGTCCACCTTGTTAAAACTGTGTGCTTACTCTGACGGGTCACATGGCTATATACTAGCTGGGTCGATCGTCATTCCAGCTCCAAAGTATTTACAGTACAAAGGGTGTGTTAGTAGACTCTGCCATGCCGACAGCAGTACAGGGGTACATGAGAAGTATCACATATATATACTCTACATACCTACCTGCAGTATTCTTGGTTTGATGTTGTATTTTACCGAGACACTCAACCTAGAATAAATCGAATATCCATACACGTAAAAGAGTAAAATAAGAGGACTTCGCGCTCAATAGATCCTTCAAGATCAATCCACCCACACCCACAACCGAAATGGTAAGGCCCGGGGGTTGTGTATGACATGCGACAACACTACTATCACCATACTTTGTACCCAGGTGTCGCCCTGTTAGCACCTGTCCTGAATATATATTACAGGTACGTACGTGTAGATACTAGTAGTTTCTGTGTGCAAAATGGACGGTGACTGTATGTTTTGATTCCGTCTGTAGTTCAGTATATTTTTGTCCGTATGCTGAAGTTTAGACATTGCTACATGCACTTCCGCAGCAATGATCCTTGTAATCCCCATTGCCTTTCTTCCGTTTTAATGTAGGTAGCGGGCATAGAAGTGAACTGTGACAGACGATCCAACCCCTACTGGTGTACGCTATACAATTGTCTTAAAGTTCTGCTCTGTAAGAGTTTGTCTGTTTGACGCACGGTGAAATACACGTGTGACCTGCACCTCCTTATTTATCAGAGACGCTGTGTCAGTGTATGTTTACAGATGGATTACTTATATAGAATAAATTCAGAGCTATATTTGTGTCATGGCCGTCAGAACTTGAAGTAGGCTTCGACAGACCGAAATATCAAGACGGGACGTAAAGACAAGACATATACATAACGAGTGAAAGTTGGTGACAGTTGGCTGATTTGCCTACCGATAATTTGTACATGCCTTCAAATACTTTGTATGTACAAGATGTAAACAAAAACAGCGATATCTCGTATAAGTCAAAAACAGCGTTACAGCCAATGCAGTTCAGAGACAGCAGAGCTAGCGTTAGAAATGGACAAAGAAGGAAATAGACGTACACAAAGTGATAAAAAAAATCGATGCTATATTAGTTTATGTTTCTGACCTACTATCGGCATTGTTTACCGTCCTATATTCGCAGAGACTAACCGGGTGGATCAGCAGGAATCTTTTCGCCTGAGGCCTTTTTAATCATAGTGTGCTGGCCACGTTATATCCGTTGCGTTGCAAACCTAACATGGTTGAGCGGATACCTCCAAACCTTGTTAGTGAAACCTGGGAAACTTCCTGCCTTTCCGTGGTACCGGGCACGGCATGGGAGAAAGGAGAGGGAAATTATCACGTTTGGAAAGTTTAAACAACAACTCATCATGTGACTTATCACAGGTCAATTCATTTACATCTACATCACATGAGATGCTGATACCGTGTGTTATCAGTTACATTTTAACCATGATCTGTGCGTCCATATCACGCGTATATTCAGATCACACACATGGGTGCAGATCAAAGTAGGTGTTACCTATGATCTGCACCCATGTCTGTGATCTGAATAAAAGGTAAACAAGAAAGCGAAATGTTATAGGGGGAACAGGAACAATAGCTTGTATGCGCTAACATTACAACGTCAATGCAAACAAGCATATTTGTTAGTGGAATTCGGTTTGTATTTAATTGAGAAAAGTAAAAAGCTAATTGCCTCCCCCAGTCTGCTATTGAATCACAAGCTTACTCACAGGTGACCCAATTTCTAGCACAGGAGGCGACCGTCCTAAAAGGTGTTGGACTTTGGTACAATGGCTGGTCGACGTTTTGTGGTCGATGGCTTTTGTATCTACAGTCGATAAAATCGATGCGACCGATAAACTCGTTAATTGCTCTTGTTAACTCATTTGGTGCTTCGGATAATATCATAAGACGAGATGGTTATCGCCATTACTCTTGCTTTAAAGCTTTAAGGTATTCTAAACTTAGTCGTTATATTTACGATAATGTACCGCATAATTTCCCGTTCGTGCAGGTCGCGTGTTCCCGACCTGGACTAGCCGAGCCGTTAGACTTGTGTTTTCCCGCCGTGCTAGATGCATTGCTGGGAGTGGGACACCTTCAGTGCCATCGCCCTAGCTGAGAGCCGTGGAGCGTACCGCGCCCTCAGGTAACACGAGGCCAAACTGCAGCCTGCAGTCTAAATCTGGTTTCATCACCATGCCTTCTACCATGGGGAGGGTACTAGGTACCCTCGTCTGGCCCTTCGAGGCCATATGCTTCATGCTGATGCGCTTGTATGACGTCGGCATGTACAGGCCTATCCAGACGATCACCGCTCCCGTCGTCAGGCTCATCCCGCGAACCCTCACCATCGGCGGGAAGAAGCGCGTGGTCTTCTCGGCAAACATCGTCACCTGGTCACGAACGATCCTCGTCATCCCCGTCGCGGTCTGCCTGAAGATCGGGCAGCCGACGGCGGCGTTCTGGCTGGTCATCCTGCACGACTACCTGGACCACGTGGACGGGATCGTGGCGCGGGTGCACCGGGACGTGTACGGTCCCGTCGACGACCCGATCCTCGGCGGCTTCATGGACGCCTTCTGCGACAAGATCGTCAATTGCCTCGCCCTCTGGAGCATCCTCCTCGTCACCGACTACGGCGGCATGACAGCCCTGCAGTCCTCGGTGCTGATCGCCTCCTGTGCCGCAGTCATCTTGTACGAGTTTACGATCGGTGTGGTCAGAGTGCAGGACTACTTTCACGCCTACTACTCCCGGGAGTTCGGGAAAGCCAACCCTCACGGGCAGAAGTCCTCGGCAGACAGTACTAAAGCCGCGATGGAGGGCAAGACGAAGGAGAAGCTGGAGTCACTTGGGATCGCCTTCCTGTGTCTCGCCCAAGGCGCGGAGGTGCCTATGGACCACTGGGGCGGTACTGCCGGGGTGGTGTGCCTGGTCCTCTGTATCCGCTTGGCTCACGCCAGCCTGGACAGGAAGCTGAAGGCACGCCGGGTCCTGGAGAAGACCGACCGCCACGACGGTCACGGCGGCGGTCTGAAGAGGATCGAGTCGGCACCTCCCGGGGAAATGGAGAGGATAGAGTCCCTCCACAACTACAACCTGCGCGCGAGAGGTTCTCAGGCTACAGCCGAAGAAAAGGGCGGGAAACACGGCGACCACATCCAGGACACCCTCGGTCTCGCCGATCCAGTCGACGCGGTGTTCACCGTCGGCTGTTTCGACCTCTTCCACACGGGGCATAAGGTCTTGCTCCAGCGCATGCGCAAGATGGGGCGCAAGGTGGTAGTGGGAGTCCACGACAGCGCCAGCATCTACAAAAACAAGCGGCGCATGCCCATAGAGAGCACGGAGACCCGCATGCGCAACGTCAAGGTTTGTGCATGAAATTACGTAATTACTCAAATTGGCCTACTGGCCGCTTCTCATTGAGGACATGACAGAAGAGGTCAGGGTCAGGAAAAATATGAAAAGACACAGGTTACATGGTTGTTGAAGTCCTCACAAATTCATAAACAGTGACACACATTGTCATAATGAATCTATAGATATATCATCCGTGAATAGTTTCATCATGTTGGTAAGTCACTGAGTAAAGAGACTCTTAATTTCTACACCCCATGTGTTATAGACGTATCAGTTTCACATACATGGTATTACCGTAAAAACACAGATAACCAAATGAATGTCGGCATATACTGTAGGTGTACGCTGACGTCGTGTTCTGCATCGCGTCCGCCGACCCCACCGACTACATCGAGTGCATCGTCGACAAGAAGGCGGGAGGAACCGCCATGTACGTCCGCGGAGACGACTGGCCGTCCTTCCCGGGCATGAAAGCCGTGGAGAGGTTCGTTCGTTTGTTCCGCATAACCGGTTAACTGCCATCAGGCGTAACACAAGTTTTGTACAGGACGTACAAGCTAGGTAAGATCTGACTGTAAGGTTTAATCCACTCAGACCGGGATAGATCTTTTAGTCTTTTCGATGCGTGTTGGCTTTTTCAACGTGTTGAGGTGTGTCTCTCCTCTTGGGACCCGACCTCCGACTTTACCTCCCTAACCGAACTTACATGTAGGTAGTCATGATCAACTTAGTGTAAATTTAAAGTGCCTTTTCTTATAAGGTCACAATCTTGGGGCCTGCTAGAGAACTGAACCCAGAACCTCTAGATTATTCTGAGTCAACACCCTTAACACAAGACTTTGCCTCCTCGCAGGTTGATGCCCATACGCCTGCTGCCCTACACCCCCGGAGTCAGTTCCACTCAACTCCGCAAGAGGGTGTCCGTGTGCGACGCAGATGCTGTGGAAGACAACCATCGCGACATCTTTTATTGATCACCCTGTTCCATATCAGACTCTTAAGATTATGAATGCCTTTCAACTTTAACAAGTGATTGAAAAAGTAATCAAAGGTCAGCCGAATCATTTATATAATCTTTTGAAAATGTCAAGATTCCGTTTTGAAATTTAACCTCAATCCGGAACTGAAAACGTCATTATAACTGTTATGGCTTATCTAAATGAGGACCTCATTTGCATTATGTATGAGGAAATGCTAAAATAGCCTTCTTTGTTAAGACTGGTATTGGGTGGAGAATATGATAAACTGATATAATTCATGCAGGTGAGGATCTCATTCGCATAATCAATGAGAAACATTTACAATTCGTTGGTTGTAAAGGTTAATTAAATGAAACATAACTTGGTGAAGGTATGAGCCAGTGGGTCTAGGTATTCATAATTCATGAGTCTTTCGCAAAAATTTCAATGGGAAGTCTTATTGTCTAATGTTACTTAAAGTAACATGGAAAATAAATAAACTACTGGGGGTAGTAGCTCCTTAAATACCACTTTCTTCTTTGCTGACACAGCCTATCTGTCTGAGTTTACGAGATGCAAAACATCATAGATTCATGAAAATCAACCATATTTAGTATTAATCAAACTGTCCCAGCAAGTACACAGAAAATGACATGTATGGCGATATTGTGCACATTTTATCCCTTTTTTAATCTCTACCAGGCAATATTCCATTAGAGCTCGAGGAGCGGTCACACAAGACATTAATTGACACAGAGGGTCAGCATCTCATACAGTTACATTTTGCACACCATGGCTAGAACTTGTAGTACAGTACCTTATGTCCAGGTATCTATAACATTTTTACTTTGGGATGACACAGGACGGTACAAATATCTTTACACAATGTCCATTAGCAGTAAAAATCTTCTTTTCTCAAACAACAAAGAACATCATCAAACTGGAAAAGCATTGCCTTTGTTGATAAGTTGTCAACTTGTAGTCACCATGAAAACCCTCTGGGAGCTCTCGCCTGTTTTTGAGTCTGAACTTCTGTTCAGATAATGTAAACACTGAATGTAAAGCTGTGGCAATTTGAGATTCGCACTGATGGACTATCAATTGTCATATTAGATACCAGCCTGAGTGCTCATTGTTTATCTGTATATCCTTTTTTACTGATGATATGCTTTGATCTGCCTTGTCCCCAAACATTCAAGAAAATCATGTTCAAAATTTGTTTGGGATCATTAGTTAACATGGATGATTGATAAGGTCTTCTTTTTAGAAAAGAAGATTCTTCAAATTATTGGGTTGACTTGCAACTCCATTTCAAAGATGTCCAAATATATGTTATAATTGATCTTAAACCATTTCTTGATAAGTAATTATATTACAGTACAATCAGCAGCTTTGGGCCATGTTAAGAGAATACTACGCACCTCATCTCTCCATCCAGACTACTGCACAATACACCAACTTAAGCCGTAGGGTGATGTTAATGTTTTTCCTAACTTTGTGAAATTTTCTGCGACTGCAGTCACTGATAAGGTAAGTGATAACAGAGAACAAAAACATAAAGTCACATAAAAACGAGGTAAAATTGGGTGTCAGGTGATATCACTGAAACAGTGAATCCTAAACACCTCTTGCACAACTATCCCATATAACTGCCACCTAGCTGATGACACTGAAATTGCAGTTAAGTATCTTGATCAGTTGACCAGGTCTTAAGATTTCTTTCTATTCCTGATTAATAAGTACACATCTTTTTAAAAAAATCTTTCTTACCTTAGTAGATTAAGTACTGAGGATTCTTTTGTAGACTAGTACATGTACTTATTTACATGGCAGAATGTGAACATCTGCTGCCAGACATATGTATATGTCCTAAAAAAATAAGTTCCTCTTTTAACAATAACCAATGATGCAAATACACTAGCCTCCCTCCACAATACTGAGTACATTGTGCTTTTGAGAACACCAACACTTCTCATAAACAATGCATGGATCCTGAGAAAGAAAGAAACCAGTAGCTCAGGTAGGGTGCTCATACTGCAAATCTTAACCCGTACAGCATGTGGCTTCCTACCTTGCTGTCTTAACATTTAGGTTTTACCATAAATATTCACTTTTTCCTCTCACTTACAACAATATACAAGCACCAGACAAAAAAAATCAGCTTTACAAGTCTTTTTCTACAATGCTAATGCTGAGAGATAGGACTGCAGGAAACGTTGGGGGCTGCGCGTTCTGTCCTGCTTGGACTCGTCCTTGTTTTCCTGATCATAATGCCCCAGCATCAGTCTCAACCTCTTCCCGGTCTGCAGGACTTCAGGTAAAACGACTGCAGCATAGTTCTCCTGGTGTGATATCATCTCCACGTTGTCGTACTTCCCAAAGTCTTGTAGTCTGAAGATGATACCGATAGCGAGGTAAACCAGCAGCTCCGGGACTTCGAACGTTAGAACCTGGACCCACGTGAACTCGGACAGGAACGTCCCCAAGGTCACCACGATGGCGTACAGCATGGAGAACGCCGCGCTGACCATGCGGAAGTTGTTGTAGAGCTCGAACTTCTTGTGGATCTGGTCGTGCAGCGTGATCTCCGACTTGTACTCCAGGTTGAGCCGGCGGATGTAGTTGAAGGTTTTGGCCTGCCGCCGCCGTAGGACCTCCATGTTGTACGAGCACCACTTCAGGGCACGGTACATCACGAACACAACGCAACACACCGCAAAGGCCTGGAACAAGAAATCAAGTTCACCCCATTTCCCTTGCCTGACCTTTTGACCTCCTGGCGTTCTACCAGACAATCTTCCCTCCACTCACATGCTCTCAACCTATTCTGTCCAGACAAAAAAAATTACAAACCTACATCCACAAGTTTTCATACTTCCATGCTTGGAGGTAAAAACAAGAAATATGGACAGTCAGGTTTTAATAATTAGATGGTTTTATTGGTCAAACAGTACCCGTGCAGGGTATCACATAATAATCAATAAATAATCTCAAACAATCAAGTAATACACATGATACACATATTTGCTCCACAATTTTTACATAAAACATGGCCTGGTGACAAATATGACCATGAGTGTATGTGTAGAATGGGATGGAAACTCACCAAGAAGTAGTTGTGGACCCAGTGGACACACATTCGAGAGCCAGCAAACACCACAAACATGGCTGGGAAGGGAAAACAAACAGTAGGTAAGACTTCTCTTATAAGTACATAAAATCTGATTTTTTTTCTCTAACTAATGCATGTATAGCTTGCTGGTCACTCTATCTGAGTTTTACCGGCAAATGTGACTTCCATCGAAGCATTTTTTTTCTGACTGGAAGAAAATTGCCTACAGTGGTCTCCCAAAAATACAGCCTGTTCTCCAGTACTGACGACTATAGGATACACTTTGGAGGGTACTGCATGCAGCATGTTTGGACTCACCTGCCAAAACCGTCCAGCGGAAGTGGCGTACATGGTAGCGTACGACCCCCCACCCCTCCGAGATCACCATCATGGCCATGAACAGCATGGCATCCTCCACGCTCTCCAGGAAGTACCGCAGGGTCTGCATTGGCTTCGACTCAATGCCTACCAATACAAAAATATTTGTTAGGTCTAGTTGTTCATTTGACCATCAAGTACATGTACAATGAAGGGGGGAAAACAGGTTGTCTCCCTGAAATGAAAAGTCATTTGGGTCCTAAGGCCATACCGTTGACTTGGTTGGTTCTCTGATTTTTGCATGAAATCAATAAAGCAGATGAGCAAAAAAGGAAGAAAGAAAACAGGGCTACGCATGCTCTGACAGCCCCAAATGCTACCATAGGAACCAGCGTACTGGGCTGGTTGACAATTTAACAATGAAGTGGCAAATCTGAGAACCATTAAACACGTGGCCTACGACTGAATAAATCTTTTAAGAAAGTTAACCTTCTCAGGCACTCACAGGACTGATGTAGGTCAAGCTAATATAAGGCATTGTGATCATAGACATTTGCTGCTAAGTGGTTTCTTGGAAACTGAGCCAAGGTAACCTAGTTCTTTCACACATTTTAAGCCTTTCTTAATCTTAGACACACACTAATGTATCAGAGGTCCAAGGCCTTACAGGTTATAGAACCACTTTGATATAGTGTCTACCAAGGTGCAGACTCATCCATCAGACTCTGTTTTCATGTTAGAATTCTAATCTGTAAAAAAGAAGATTTAAAAAGCCTGGCCAAGGCCTTACAGCTTATAGAACCACTTTGAAGCAGTGTCTGCCAAGGTGCAGACTCATCTATCAGACTATGTTTTCACGTTATAATTCTAATCTTTAAAAAGAAGATTTATAAAACCGTGTTGCCCATTAGACCCAGGGCTGATGATGATACCAATCGAGTGTTATGTTTTTAAATCCAAGAACCAAAAAATTAAATTGTTGTGGACTAATTTGCAAACTCACAAACATAAAAAATTTCAAAAGCTGCATGTTGGATAGCAGTTTCCTGGATGTACTCACCGTCCTTGGACAGTTGATGCCACCTGACCATCACAACAAACACCAGGACTATCTTACAGATAGGGACCACCGTGATGAACTTGTGCAGGTTGTTGGAATACTGTCAAACAGATGGACAATCAAAAATGGTTACAGGGTGCTTCATATTCTTCTTCAAGAATGATATATACTACATGTAGTTCTATTCAAAATGCTAAACCGATCAACACATTACAGAACAGATAATGATCTTGTACTCAAATTGGCTGATGCCATACAGTGGCTTCCTGATTTTCACAACCTTGTCTGAACTTACATCCAAAACAGGTTAGAAAACTGGAAATGGTTTCAGGAAATCATTGTTCTAGTCCATACTCATCAGTATCTATTTCAATAACAGTGCAGTCCTAGTTCTTCTCATTTCATTGTTTTACAACCCCTTTCCACTAGATGCTGCGGCTGATAATCGACAAAAGACAGATTGCTTAAGGAGTTTAATAGAATTTCTTTTTTACATTCCACATGTTTTGTTATCTTTTGAATCATACTTGTGCAACATGCATCATATTCCAATTTAAAGTCAAGGGTCACACAAATCCAATTTTGGTCACTCATTGGTGTCTCAGCAACCCCTGTCTAGTAGAAAGGGGGCCTTAACATGAAATGTATTTAACATGGAGCAGACATGGTAGCATGCCTAACCCATCATAAATGATTCATAGCACACCATCACCCAATCCATCTTCCCCGAAAAGCTTTCAAGCAAACCATGCCCGTCTCTCGACTGGTCTCAAAATACACAGATATTGAATGCGACCATTTCACTTGCCGGTCGTCTGCTAATGGATTTCAAGACTATATGATGCACTACACATATACTAGCTTCCCGTGACATCAGGCAGAGTGACTCACAATGGCAGGATGAGTTTACTAAGTGTCATATCATGATGTCATGTACATACGATGTACCTACTCAGGCCCGGTCGTGTAATATTTCAACGTCATTTTATACAACCAAACTTGTTATGTGGTATATTTCGAGACACAAATTGCTTGAAGCATGTGGTTGTAGTATTTTACTACACACTCATGCTCAACTTAAAAGGCGATAGCTAGCTTTTAAGACCATTATGTCATCGCCCTTCCTATATGATTCCAGGATGTCCATACTTAAGTTTCACTTTTCATACAGAGAGAGAGAGTCCTTATAATGATTGTGGCATCCCAAATTCCAATGATTGGACAGATAATTCCGGCTTGTATTGAGCAAAGAGTTTGCGATCCTTGATAGTATATTTCTTTAAACTTTCACCAAAACTGTGCCAGGACATTGGTGGCAATTTGCTGTGAAGGCAATTTTACCCACAAGCAAAACCAGAAACTGTTATCAAAACTAATGCCTCAGTTATCCTTTACCTCCATCACCCCCAACCCAGTTTGCTGTATCCAGAGTGAGCATTTTAGCTAATCATTTTGTAAAATAATTGGCATGGCCCAGTTTGTTAAAATCTCGTGACTTCCAATTTTGCACTACCACCCCAGTGGAATACCACTGGCATAAACAAGTAGTACAGCAAATAACTCAATCAGGCTCCCAGTCACGACAACCATGAGCATGCTGTCTGCTGAATATATTGTTGTACCCCTGGGAATAAATGTTATATGGGCTTTTTTTCATGTTCATCAGATAACATATACATTCATGGTAAAGAAACATATCTCATATTTTCGACTTGCATTTACAGTCAGGTTGGTAAAGTATAGGATACAGGAGTTTTATTTTCCACAACCAAGATTTCTCACCTAAGTGCTGACGTTTCGGTGTCTATCAGACACCTTCCTCAGAGCTTCTGACTGGGGTTTTGCTTCTCGCCACCTACATCAGCTACATATAGCGGCGAGAATAACTCCAGTCAGAAGCTCTGAGGAAGGTGTCTGATAGACACAGAAAATGTCAGCACTTAGGTGAGAAATCCTGGTTGTGTAAAAGAAAACTCCTGTATCCTAGTAATAACTACAGAAACACCATGAGACACTGGGAGCCTACCCTGTGGTACTTGACCCAGTTGATGAGCCAGAGTGTAGCCATGGTGGACCACATGATGTTCAGCACCACGAAGATCCACGGCAGGGGGATCTCATCACTGCTCAGGTGTTCCCCGTCTGGGTTCAGCAGAGTCAGCTCCGACTGGGGACATACAGCACACAAGGCAGGGTTAGGCCACACCAATTTAATTTCTTGGTTAACGGATTTTTCTAGAAAAATAATGGAGCGGGCGGGCGAAAAAAAAAATAAATAAAAACAGGCCTAGGCATCCTATTATGGCCCAAAATGGTACGATAGGAGCCATGAAGTCAGCACACCAGGCTGGTTCAAAATTTAAACAATGAATTTTGAACTTTTAATGGTAGCACTGCATTGATAGATGGAATGACTGTAACAAGGTAGTAAGAAAAGGACTGTTTTCAACTGTTCAGGGCAAAATATGAGCATTTTGCAGTTGATTCTGAATTTTTATTTTTATTTGCAAATCAGAAAAAAATGAAGAGGCGAATCTGTTAACCAAGAAATTAAATTGGTGTGGCCTTAGATATACCCACCTGCAGTCTGCATTTTGGAGAGACATTTTCAATATTGCAGAAGAAAAATTAAGCAACCTGCAATTTTGAAGACTGAAAAAATCAGGCTAGGGGTTCAATGGTGTTTGAGAGCTTTTGCGTTTACTACTGACTCTAATTTGAATGTAAAATGTTTGCAAACATGCAATTTTGTCTATGCCATGGGTTTAGGTCCAGACTTTTAAGTGTGTATTTGCAGACAGTAGTTCTGAATTGCAGAACAAAATTTTGACATTCTGCAATATTGCAGCACACTGAAAAAAGTATTTCTACCACTGCACATAGAAGGGAGTGCAGACGCACAGCAGCTCAGATGCACAATAACCAGCAACATACTCACACCCCCTCTTAACTGTGGCTGTTAAGCAACCGCTGAGTGATCAATACTAGTAGATTTCAGAATTGTGAGGTTGTGTTTATAAAAATTGATAAAATCTTTTTTAGGTCATAGTAACAATTCTACATGAATTACCTTCAGTAATCTAAAAGTAATGTTTAATTAAAAATCCCTATTATTAAAAAACTACCATTCTTTCCCTTTTGTCCTTCTTGACCCCTTCCTACTAAAGCCAGATATAGAATACTGTATTCAAGTCTTCTAATGTGTCCTTGATATGCACACATCTACTGCTGAGATCTACACAGCATCTACAGCTTAACCACCAGTCAGGAATAAAGGTCTACATATTCTACTCCATAGCTCTTCAGCATGCACCATTAGCAGACATGCTGCAGCATTTTGATGATCTGTTGATTACATTCTGTACATTCCACAGTAAGATTAACACACATGTGTTTGGCACCCAATCCAATATACATAATTATTATACAAATACTTGATGTGTGCATACCTCCTTCATTCACAATCGAGCAATCTGGGACAAAGAGTCATTAATTATAGAAGTTTCAATTATCTTGAATTTCAATTTTCCCTGTTCTGGTATTTCTATCTCCAATTAATTTGTGACAGCTTGTTTTCTTCAATTACATGAACTGATTGTAACAAAGCCATTTTGTTGATTTAACCTCACAGAGAGGCCCTAGCACAGAGCTACTTTAAGCTCCTCCATTATTCATAGCTTCACCCACTTCTATCAGGGATGAGAGGCTCTAAAGTGTAGGTACCTGAAGTACAAGATCTTCAGAGGAGATACAGACAGGAAGGTCACAACTGAACCATCACCACTTGCACAGAATTTCATCATCCAATTTCTGAGAGGCCATCAGGGGGATGCATGTGTGATCAGTTCTTTGCATACGACTGAGCAGTTTTCACAATAAATTACTACCTAGTATGGAAGTATTGTTTTGGGGTGGCTGAGCTTTGGCTTTGGGTTTGTGTGTCTATCTAGATGGAATAAGTTGACAGCACATGGGGGTGGGGAAAGATTGACAGGCAGAATTACAGGTGGCCAAAAGGCCAGTCACGGGGAATTGGGTGAACTTGAGAGTAATTGTGGTGATCTTCCCCACCTACATGATGTCAGCCTTCCCTGTCTGGACAAACAGATATACAAACACACAGTTCAGCCACCCCAAACCCATACCCAAATGTTTCCATAAGGCCACACCAAGTAAATTTTATGGATGACGTCCACGTGCGCATTGATTTTGGCCTGTTCCTAGAAAAAAAACAAGAAATTCTGCTTCCTGTAACTATGACCATAGAGTCACGACAGTGCCGCAAATCGTCAGATTGACGTGAAACCCGTAACACGAAGAAAGTGTCTATTGACAGGACCATCCTGTCAATAACAGAAAATTTTTCACTGTCCACTGTTCCACCTGATTTATTGCTGTTTTGATGATGAATAAAAGACTTCTTGCTTGTTACACTGTGTCACCTCATTCAATTTGTGTCCTAACATTTGTCGTCGGTTAGTATATTTCTAATCTAGGCATCTTGTTTTTAGGGCCCTTCTTGTTTTTTTTTTGTCCTCTCGCATTAGATTTAGGGTCTCCAAAGGACGTCATCCATAAAATTTACTTGGTGTGGCCTAACCAAACTATGTACAAAGACCAGGCTAACTGACCCGACAGCCTATGCGGCGGTTGGACTGGTTCTTGGACTGGTGAGACGGACACTGCAGCAGGAAGAACGTGTAGAAACGCGAGTCCTTCATCTGCCGGCGGATGTGGAATTTATTCGGGTGGGATTCGTTATACTTGATTCTGGAAAAAAATATTTGTAATTTTGAATACAGGTATTTCATATTTATCTATTTATTGATTTATTGCAATCACAATAATGCAGTACAATGGGCATCCAGGCAGTATTGCTGATGTTAGGTGCCATCAGTTAAACAAATACATGTACATGTTCATGTACATGCACACATATTCAGACAGACTTGCTAAAAATGACTAGAATGCATAATGTTGTTGAATGCGCTGAATCATGAGTTCTGACTGAACTTGGGTAGGTTTTTAACCTTAATGCTCAATATGCACTTGCCAGAACAAATAGGTAAAAGTTTAGCCAAAAGTTAAATTCATACAGCCACCTGCTAGAAAATCCTATCATCTTTCATCATCCCCTCTGGAAGACACATGTTGGAAAGGGCACGCAATCACGAAAAGACCTACATTCACTGCCAAGATGCAATTGCCCCCTATCAAGTTACACACGTCGTATAATCCTCTGTGGTTGTTCTAATATTAGGTTGAACCTTTGAATTATTGCTGGCACTCACTACACAGGAAGGCACAAATGGATATATTGATCCAGGTATGGTTTATGAGACAAAACCTAAAAGCTTTGTGGATTTGTTCCAACTTCAATGAGCAGGATATTCAAGATATACCCAGAAGATACATGTACTTGTAGGCATTCTAATGTAATCCAATATACCGTAAAACATCAAATGTATTTGCTTAATGTACCTTGTAGAAATGTAGTTATGACCGAGTACAGTTATTTTTATTTTATTTATAATGAATAGAAGTGATAACTTCAGTTCATTTAGGATCAAGTTAATAATTACCATAGTAAGATTCAGCAAATATGGTTTACTATGAATAGCTACCATAGTGATATTCAGTAAATATGGTTTACTATGAATACCACTGCCTCTGTCATCGGATACTGTTATTGTCGTGGGCTTTCAACCTGTCAAACCATTGATTACATTTGAATGTGTCTTAGTATCGCTTTTGACAGTGACTCCTGCCTATGGTGTACATGGGGCTAACGCAGGGATTTCTTCTATATCTGACAGTGAACTAGTAACTGGTCCATTGATTTCTAGATCTGCCCCTGGTTAATACCGGTGCTGTTGAAATTCTAATATCTATCCCTGGCTCATTAAGGTTGACCTATAGCATATAGTTTATGTCATTGAGTTATTAACTATGGTATACCGTAGTTAACTTATTTTCAAGGGGACAGTTTTTTCACCTGTACATACAGAGATGATAAATTATTGTTTGTTCTGCACAATGTTGAAATGCTGTTCAGTCATCCACTGAAATGGCATCTTTATCCAATGCACCTGCATGTTACAGCTGTGCATACACCTGATTTCCATACATAGAATGTAACACCAAAGTTGATAACAGAAGGATGGATGCCATTTCTTGCAACCTGGCTTCTCCTCAATGACTCATGCAAGTTGTCCAATTAGCCTGTTCACAGAACCAAGACAGATAAGGATGAAGCTACCATTTATCTTCATTTAATCGTAACTTCCCCCGAGAAGGCAATTAAACGCTTCCTCTTCTTTTGTCGATCTGAAGATTAAGACATTTCTTTAACTTAAAGTGAATGCAGTACATGTATGATAACTGTCTAACTTCTGAATTCGATATTAGTGCATGCTATACATTGTATTTATGTTCAAATCAACAAATTCAAATCCCTTTCCTATGTCATTTATATAACTGCAGAGTGATGACATTTATATAACTGCAGTATTAACTGAGATCTTTATATAACAGCATTAAGTCGTGATTTGTAGATACACATGTTTATGTAAAAGGGAGTTAGATAAGACCTGAATTACATGCAGGCAAAAACCTGATTGAGTGTATGAAAACTGCGTACATTGAATGTTTCTGCATGTATATCGGCCTGCTCTGACGTACATCAAGAATTTATGTTCAGATCATACATTACCTTGAACGTTGGCGTTCAATCTGAATGTACGTTTTTGACCTTTGTCAAAGCAGGCCAATTTCACGCAAGAAAATTTGCTATCCACATTTTTTGTACGCTTGTGTGCTTTTATACCCTCAGGCTTTTGCTCATGTGTAAATCATGTCTAAGAGACTATCTTTGTATTCTCTACAAATTAACACAATACCCAGCATACATGTATGTCAATCTAAATTAACAGGGGTGATCAAATGTCAGAAAATGGATTAATAACATTAATAAACATAAATTAAAGCCTTTAGAAGGAAAACTTGTGTTTTCACATTACCACGTATGTCACGTACAAACTGTCTTATTTGGGTTACCCACTACATCTGGCCCTGGCCTCTACTTTCAACAATGCTTGCATAAACATTTTATATAAAGTACTTACTTGTCCCTTTTACAGTAACTGTTATCTGGGTCACGGGCCATCAACCCTCGCAGTGCATTGCAGTCCCAATCAAGCTGACTGGCTGTCAAACGTGCATACTGAGGAAAAATGAAACAAAACAGACAATATAGAATCCCTTCATACAGTTTAATAAAATGGTTTGTAGCCAAGCTCGCCGTATACTAGTAACTTCTTACAATCACTAATATAAATCATCAACTTCAGTTTTCAATTTTATTACCACATCAACAGGCAGAAGAATACAATGATATACAACTGAATAGCATTTATTTTCACCAAGCAAGTCAACATTGAAGTAGTTTGTACTCCATTATCTATTTCTGATACCTTTATTGTTGGTGCCATTGTGTCGACTACCTTCAAACCTGTACACATTTGCAATTCATTGTAAAAGCAATATTTCCTGGGTGCAATGCCAAGGCCTGGGATGCGATTCAAGCAATCAATAGCCATTTTGTTCTAATTTTGTGCTGATTCTCCATTATCCATTCTTTATGGACCATAATCTTTATCTTATGGCAGGATCTTGAATAATCAGTGAGCTTGGGCCATTCCCTTCTTTGCCCATTCAGTTGGTTAATTATTCTGACGCCACATATACCAGCATGCATGTTGACAGGCTTACTTGATTACAATCTGTACTGACCGATGATATCGATATAAATCGTGAAACTTTTGTGGTGGTTTTATTTCATGGTAAGGAAAAGGGAGGTTTTCATAGTGTTTTAAATTTGCAGTTAAAAAAGTTCTGTAGTACAGTAGTCAGTGCCATACAAGAAAGACATATTCATCATGGTGTCATAATGTACACTGAAGAAGTCACTGCAAAAAGATTAAAAAAATACTGTGAAAGTGACAATTTAGAGTACCACTAGTAGTACCTTGATTCAGATGACGCCATCATTAGAACCTTAAGATATGCTATCATTATATAAGAACCTACCTCCTTAGCTTCTGAAGTATTGCAGGACAGCAGCCATAGGTCCAAAACCTGGAAGAATCAGATTGATAACACAGTTAATAGTATATTATACACTAATTACTGATAACTACATGTATTTCTGTGGGTATTTTCCTGACTTATTTATTATATTCTTTTATAATAGTTTGTTTGAGCTTTGTTCATTCATGAAGTACTAAAATTGGCTTGCTGGCCACATTTCATTAAGGTTATGAGGGGAAGGATCAGACAAAACATCAAAACATCACATATTCTGCACCAAAAAAACTGATTCTAACACCTGACTAGACAAGATATCATAAATACTGTAGAATTCATAGACATGCAAACAAACAAACAAACAAGAATAATAATACTTATTAATAAGGTAAAATGTCATGCCTACATGCTGTATATGACAATTAAAAAAGTTGACAAGGCATATATGCAGTTTGCCAAACAACAACACCACCCTAATTTTTCTCTGACACACAGTGTGAAACACCATCATTCAACATCACTGGACACCTCCAACTGATCCTGCAGGGCATTACTTACATTCTTCACAAATAGAACCAAGACAATTCTGTTTTCATTGGGTGTCTGTTAACAATTAGGAAGGCCATCATTGATGATAGGAAGCTACAGTAATGACACTGTGCACAGATAAATGTACTACTACTAGTAGGGTGTGACAGGAACATGTGAAAGTTGTCTATGTAATTTTCATATTTGCTCAACATGTCAAACTACAGACAGGTATGTGTCTACTAAGTAATGGCATGCGACACTACTTTCAGTATCCTACAGCTTTTGTTTGGGACCATCAAAATAAGTCAAAACTGGCCAATCTTGACAAGGCTAACACTGGTATCTATTTTCAGTTTCACTTCAGTCACTCACAGCAAGGCCAGCACTAGCTGCGGCGACTGTTGCATGGCTTCTCTTGCTTGCAGTCTTTTACATAGCCCTGTTGTTAGAGCTAATGTAAAAGACTGCAAGCAAGAGAAGCCCTGCAACAGTCGCCGCGGCTAGGCCAGGACATAATTGTCCTTTTTTGCATGTAAATCGACACTTGTAATAAAGTACAAAGACAAGGCATGCACGATGACAGAAAAACATGGGATCCTATCATTTTGACCTTCGTATCACCTTTGCAAGAACCTTCCTGAGCATCCATTACTTCCAGATCTTTATGGCCAGCCTGGCACCTGTGGTCTGGTGTTCACTGTAACAGTTACCATTACTGTCTATAAAATTGCTAGCTACCCTGGCACATGTACAGTAGCTGAGCAGAATGGTAATCTCATTGAACAATTATGTCACTTCTGATATATAAAAAGTGTTCGTCCTAACAGGTAAATAAGCAGTCAAGAAGGCATTACTCTTGTACGGGCAGTTTCATTCCTGTTATAATCGGATTATTCATTTCTGGATGGTTTAGATAAGATGAGTGCTCCCGTGGGGAGGGGGGCGGTCTGCCTACTGGGGTCAGAAGGGCTCGATGTCCAAATCCTATTTTTGGACTGAGTTGTCGTTTTACAGATCACGGGCGACAACAAGGCCAGGGTGTGTTTAGATAACATTGTAGGACAGCACACCGGGAGAGCTGTGAGTCCGAAAAATTTATACACAGCCGAGCAACGTTATCATACTCACAAGGATATTTTTTCAGCGTGCTATGCGTGCAGTACAAGGTTGATATCCCTGGTGCGTACTACTGAGTCTGACTGATGCTTGTCAAATGGAATCGAAAGACAACAGTTCTGCAAAAGACACACTCATGCATACTTACAGCCGGCCGTGTACAAGTCAGATTGTAGTCTACTGTTCCTCCTTCAAGAAACCCGAAGCTCCGGTCTTGCAGCGCCTTGTTCAGGTTGTTGTAACCCTGAACAATCCAAGTGTTTTCGTTCACATAAACACGTCCCTGGCCAAGAGAAAGACATAGAATAGCTACAAAAACCTGCAGTGTACTCTCTTCTATCCTGTAGGACAGCATGTTTACTACAGGAGCGGCGTTTGTCACAAAAACATGACCATTTTCGTCAGTGTTGTTTGGGTAAGACGCCCTACACTTGCCGAATGGCCGCCGCGACTTGGGTTGCATTCCAATAGAAGTGTCAATCAAACTATTTAAATAACTTGGTGGGCGGGGCAAGGGCCATTTAACCTGTGGCGGGAAATTCAATTTCTTTACCTCTGAGCAGATCTTGCCGTGGAAAAATTGTAACCACTGTCCAGGAGTAGGTTTATGGCCATTGCAATTTCGTCAAAATGCTCACCTACGCTTCTGACTTTTATTGTTGAACCCTGAAGTTACTTCTTCTGTAGTCAGATGAAAGTACATTTTTTTGTTAAAAAATAAACTAAGAAGGCAACATTTGGCCATTTCTTATTGCCACGGAGGTTATTACGGGCGTTTTGCTGGTACATGTATATATCCACTTTCGGAGACGCATGAGCAAACCTGAGCAGAAATCTGATCTTTATTTTACAGCTGACAAATATCGAGAAGAATACTAGTACTAGTATCACGACTGCACAAAAGCACCACCTAGCGAAGTTATCAAGAAATCGTTAGTGTACTGTATGGCAGGGAAGTGAAGTGAAAAACATGACGTTGGGGAAAAAGTCAGTTTATATGTCACTTAATTTCATCAAGTACATTTGACTTTGACTGGCTGTGTGTTCCTGGGGACATTGACCTTCATTGGAACCGGCGTGTACATTTGAGATCTGATGCTCGTCCATTTGGACATGCGACCACCACATGCTGAAGAGGCCGCAGGATCACGAAAAGTCGATCACGGTGCAATAGAAACGGGAGAGCCAGTACGTGAAGCTAAAGACCAGCTGTCAAGGATAATTCTCATCAATAAAACTCACGTTCATACAGCCGTTTAGTTTTTGACTTGGTACTAGTTTAGGGGGTACACTCGGAGTGATACATGAATGAGACCTCAAAGGTCGGTACGTATACATGTAAAAAAACAGTGGTGCCAAAGTTCGCTTTAAAAGATGAGTACTGTCTTGTGGTATTACCGTTTGGATTCCTAATGCGTCAAATCAGATTACATGTAACGAGTACAGCAAACAACTAACGTGCTCCCTTTTATTGTATGAAATTTCTATTATACAGTACAGATTTAACACATACACAGTACAATACACATAGTCTAACTCTATCTCTTATTGTACGTGGTGGCAACCTACAATTACCCAATAAAGGTTAAGTATTCTTTTCTATAGTACATCAGTCTTCATCTGTTGTATCGTTTTTATTCCAAATGTAACCGACAGGCATTATGTGCTCACAGACTGCCAAAGAAACTTACTTCATGACTAGCAGTTTTTCGGCGACATTCCTATCGACATTTCAGAGAATCAAATGTCTAGGAAACAACGATCTTATAAGGAAGCGTGATATCTTTGGTGAAATTCACTGAAGATGAATGTGACCTTTAAGTTTGTTGGACGCAACAGGAAACAAGCCGAGAGCTAGACTTAAATTAATATGGACAATACCCTTCCGACTTCCTCGTCACGTATTTTGAATTGATTTATGAGTCGAGTGCGCAATGTCACCACACACCCTGAAATAACTTTCACTACCGCAGGATGTCCGTCCTGGCAGAGCCTCAAGACACAGTCTCGCCGCAGTACTCGGAGTTCCATGGAGGCTTAACAAAGAAAAACGGAAATGTCGACGTGCCAGTATGACTTAACAACTTTCACCATCATTGTGACGTGTGTAGGGTTTGTGACGTCGTGGCTGCAGGTTTGATATAGAGCCGTTACTTGGAAATCACGGAGACTAAAAGTACACTTAATTTAACACATACTTTTACTTTCTAACGGTGACTAAGCAATTTCATAACTGCATCTCATCTTTTTCCTCAGCGTGTGTGCGTTGAATCGAGTTCAGTTATCTACTGAAAAACTCAAACGCACCAACGAACGGGCAATATCACAGTCCTGGGTGATCTCGGGTAATAGACCAGCGTGTCTGTCATAGGGAGAGTCCACTGCTGAACTCCCTGTATTTTGATAGTTTCCTTTCATAGCAAACTACATGTATATACATGACGTATCTTACGTAGAATCTACCGCTGTCTGCCCTACATGTGACCAACCGTTAGTCGAAGCTCCTTATCAGTGTGTATATGTACATGTACATAAATTGTGTATGTACAAAATACATGTGTATGTATGTTCGGGTACTGACATAAGAATACAATAGTCTATGGCTGCAAAATTTACCATTCCTTACCGTCAGGCCCAGTCTGCGTTATGTTTTTTTTTTCCGTTTTGTTTTGTTTTGTTTTTTTTTTGGTCGTAGGCTTTTTGTCAGGCTTTCTATTTTGTCAGGCTTCTCTTTGTCTATAATGGCCAGTAAGAAACGCCTTAAACTCCGGAAAGAAGCCTCACACAGACACAATCCCTTTATCTCCTTTTGGGGTCGAACCAAGTCAGTACCATCATTATGTTCGACCTTTGGGACAATCCTCAACAAAACATTGGGAGTCATCGCGGTTTCCCCTCATTGTTGGCGGGCTTTCTTCTTCACTCAATTAGATACCCGAGCAGGAAACGTTAAATATACACAAAATAGTTATGAACCGAACAGGAAACGAACGATTATACATGTATTTGTTTTCCTTTCCAAGAACGTGTAATGGCCCACTCCCTGCCTGCGCAATCTTTTTGAACGTCATAATTATCGCCGTGGGCGTAGTTAACGACAAAGCACAAAGGCGGCAACAGCAGGCAGCAGTCCATAAAACTATAATCTTAGGAAATGGACGATTACCGCTTCTGTTGGATGCCGGATGGAATCCATTATCACAGTCGCCGGAGACCTTGAAAGATGAAGAAAGGCGTGGTCTCACTTAGCCTGGTGTCCAGTCTTACCAGCTTGAGTCCATTTGCAACGGTCGCTACCCCGCCGTACGCGTAGCGACTGTTAGCCTGGATGCCATCCTCCATAGTTACCACTGGCTCTCCCTTGTCGTGTGCTACAACGGCAAGCGAAACGGGTGAATTCCGAACCAGCGGTTAATCTGAGGAGAATGACACCCAGAGATCTGTGGCCAAGAACTACTGACTCATGGCCATAAAACAACATTACACACAGACTCCCCGCTGGATGTTTCATTTATTCTGCTCAAATTGATCCGCATGGCACAAATTCAAGGTCACACACTGCTTCAAGTCATCTTCAAGGTCATTTATCTTTTCTGCTTCTGTTGATGCCTGGATCAATGGTTGCAGCTGCGATAACCGTGAGGGTCTTTAAAGGACAACGGACTGATCTTAAATACTGGACGCAGAATTTGAAGAGAATGCAACATGAACGCACAGAGACATGTGTTATATATAGGGATAGAACACGGGCTTCACATAGATGTAGTTCAGTGACCCTAGGTTTACACTAATGACTGGCTGGTGGATTTGTCATACAATCCTTATCTGTCAACGCGACTAATAGATACAAGACTGTGTTTCCGCAATATCCACTCTTCACAGCGCTAAGGGCCTGGGGCCAAAGACGTAGTATGCAGGGCCTGGTACACACTATTGCCAAACTGAGATAACGAGATCCTTTGGGAACTTAAACTTGAATCAAGGAGAGTGAATGTTTCAACTAATGACGCAGACTGCGCTGATCGCGCAAATTTACTGAAATCTTGCACATTAAAGTTGTCAACATGTACATACAGCATATATGAAGATGACGCCATACACTTGAACATTTAGAGTGCATTGTAATACCGTATTACCTGTTCACTTAAGATGTTTTGGTCGTTATTCTGATGACAATACCTTGTGTTCGACCGTGAAGCTTGAAGCGCAAAGGAGGTCAATACACTTGGCTTTAAGTGATGACAGCACCATTTAAAGTGGTTGTTTTGCGTAGCTGTAGTGCCAAGCAAGTATGGTAACGTTAGCACTGAAAGCTATACACAAGATTTAGACCACAAGTAAGAGCCCGCCAAATTACTTATTAGCATGTTTTTATTTCAAACTACCACAGTCCACACATTCCAAAGCAACTTCAATCCACGGGAGATGTTTAACCTCAAATATATTTCCACTCCCTGAGTATAGAATTCTGTCTCTTCGCCAAGATTGCCATGGAAAAAGAGACGAAGGACTGTTGTCACAACTTGACGTTGAAAGGAAATGCTGTCTGTATTTTTGCGGGCGGTGTGCGAAGTTTTGTCCCCTGCCGTGCGTGTTTGTTGTGGGTGTTGAAAAGTGCGATGACTCAGTTTCTACAGGTCTCCGTGGGAATTAATCGACACTGTTTTTCGTGGGGAAAAATAAAAATCAGCAACTTCTACCAAATATGAGTACTTGCTACCGGTCTGCGTACAACTTTATTGATAGAAAGTAAAACACAGGCGATATCGTATAGGTTCAAGATTATGTACTCCTTCAGAGTGTACATGTAATGAAGTCGCCTTGAGATACTCTCCAACAGAGGTTAGGCATTTTTACAGCTTTTCTGGCGTTCTATCAAAGTTCGTTGGCTTTTCTTTCGATGTCCTATCCAGAACGAAATCCCGACAAAACGTCTGAGGACGTTTTAAAAAAAAGTAAAAAGCCTCACTTCTGCTGAAAGGGTGGGTTTGTAATGCTATTTCTACATAGAATGCCTACTCCGCCGAACTTATGTTTTGCCATTGTGGCATGCTCAAGAAAAACAACAACACAGGTCGGTGCTTCAGTGGAACCACAAAAACTCAGACAAGAATGCTGCCAGCTGCGACAGTCGGCGAGAAGGAGTAGTGTCAAATGTACGGACGTGAAATCTCGTCTGTCTGAGATACTGAAAAAACGATTCTGTTCAGTTACTCAGTACCATGTGGGTTTTTTCTTAAGACATCCAGCACATTTACAAATGTCGCCTTCGACGGTCTCTGTATTTTCGTAAGTGCATTGTGATGATTTGTTCCTTCATACACGTTTGCAATGCTTTGTTATGTGGTGACGCTAATACATGTATGCGTCTTAACTACGGTGCCTCAGTCTCTATAGTTCAATCCTCTCTATCAGCTTTTTATAGTGTTCGACAAGTATCTACTCTGTGTGCAGTCTCATGCTTACTACGCACTTCTGCCATGGTCAGCCGACAAAATTTTGAAGTCTTCTTGGAAGACAAACATCTTGCAGTTGGCTACATACTTTCCCCTACGGTGTGCCCCTGTCCCCAATGACGATGCGTTACTGTCACATATCAATACTCAAACGTCAGAAGTACTCTTAAATGGCGGATGGGAAGAGTTAAGGAAGGACATGAACACGACAGTAAAGGAAATTGTCGGTGACCCAGGGTCAGGTATGTTTCTAGTGAGATGTTACCCGACTGGTATCATCACTGCACGGCATTTATACGGAATGTTTGCGTCACGAGCATTCATCAGTACATAACAATGCTGTAGGATACGGCCTAACCCTTCCCTCTGCCATAAACAAACACTATCTGTCGCAACAAGGTTACAAGGGGACGGTCTAGTGAAGACAACATTACGCAATGACATCCTGGAGTAAAATTGAAAACACGGTATTCTATTACGATCTATTGAATGACAATTCGTGAAACTGCGTCCGATATTCCGGTATTTAAAAGTTGCGCCACGGGAAGAAATTGTGAATAGACCAAATACTGTGAACGGAACACTCCAAGGTACGTGACTCGACCGTGTGTTACGCCATCCTTATTTGGACATCGTCGGATCCGACTGACACCTGACGAAGAATGACGTCCGATTGACTTCTCCCGAAAAAAGCTCTTTTCTAGCTTCCTGAGCAGCAGGCTGTATGACTGTGCCATGGCCCATAGGGCCTGGATGATGCGATTTCTTTTTGTTTTGACATATCTATTTTATTTCTTCTCGGGTTTTTGTGAGAAAAATTCAACAAGCACAGTATAAAAGTCAAATACTGCTATAGAGACTACTCCTTCGGCCGAGGTCTTGGAGCCCAGTTTCTATGAAACGTTTCCAACACGTGATGTCGAGATGGTGAGTTTCATGCCCCAAGCATGAGGAAGAAATGTTCTTGTCCGGGATATCATTTAAATAAGATCGTGAGAAGCTCAGCTGGTCAACGTGCGCGTGCTTCGGACTGCGTAGCCCGGCCTGGGATCCATCCCGGTCGGCTTCGTAGAAGGCACGAACTGACCTTCTGAGCTCTGAAGCAGGATTTTCATACAAATAGACAAAGTGGCGTGATTCAGCCCCCTGACGGATTAGGCAGATGGCTTCAGTAGAAACGACCTCGTCATGCCGCCGCATTCACCTTACTGAAAGGGCTAAAGTCAATGACCTCGTTTTGTTGTTTCCTCCACATCTTCAGAATAACATTTAATGCGAGAGGGAGAGAGAGTAGTGAAGCCTGTGTTATACAGTCCCTTGCTTTAATGGCCCATTGGAGGCTTCTAGGGTTCTGAACGGGACTGGTAGAAGGACAGCCAGTTTCCTCACAGCTAGCGAAATATTTCGGCACGGTCAAATACGTACAACATTAAAACCCGACAGGACGACATACGACGACGAAATGTGAACAGTACCGCGCCAAAACGCGGCTATCGGTGCGCCTCACCCCGGTGACAGTAATCTCCAAGCAGATCTTTCGGTGGGGGTATATTTAAATTGGCCAGCCTGTATCCATTTGCCAGAAGGCTGGCTAACAGTGGACACTCCTCTGGCCAATGGATACGTCCTTGCCACCCTATGATCTGCTTGGAGATTACGGTGACAGTGCTTCGTGGCTAACTAACAACATTCAAAACGTCTCTCTCGAAACGAGAAATGAAGGAGTGATGTGCTTATCAAACCTGTGAAATCCTAATCCCAGCCACACGTGTCCTAATCCAGTCTGTCCATAAAAAAGATTAGCGTGACCGCAAAGGGATTAGGTGATAATGCGTGTCACGGCGAGTGGTCAGTGTGTGTCCATGTAACTGGGTGTTCACAAGGACAGGGAACAAGGATACTAGGATAATCAAGGAGGTTAGAAACAGATCTCTCCCTAACCTCCTTGAGATGCTTCAGTCAGCAACCGAGGCTTCGTCAAAACCGCGAAATCTAGCAGACTGCAGAAGAAGACCAAACTATATAGTGATTGCGTTTTCACCTTTTGACTCTGTTTTACAAAAACCTGAAGCAAGCAAACGTTGGCTTCAAAGTCAGATTTTCCTATCTTACACATATCGACGTTTTATCGGAAAAGCTCAAGTCAGAAGTGTGACCCGATATGTGAGATATTTATCATAGAGTTACAACCTGGAGTTTCTAACGTCTTTCTATATGTCTTATAACAAAAAGCTGATAGGAGTGTCTTCAAGTATGTAACTGCTTTCTAGAATAATAATAAAGAAAATGAAACAAACTCATATTCACACACTCATATCCCAGTCATAACCTCTCCCATTTACGGGGACGCCGTATTGCAGTGTCACGCAGGTGTGTTTGTTTTTGTTCGGAAACCTCGCCGCTGGTTTGTTTGTACACAAAACAGTTCACCCAGAACACCTTATATAGATAGAACACGTGACGTTTCCTGCCATAACAAAGCACGGTGCCAGACAAACCACGGCACCCACTGAGCTGTCTGTGTTTTGTGTTACTTGAGTTCAACTTGAGTTGGCAGTCTACTCCAAGCAGAGGTTATGCGTGTCTTGGGCGTTTTTAAGCGTCTTGTCAGGCTTTCCTTATTGTCAGCTATTCCTTGAGTATACTGACCCAAAACCCAAAAAGAAAAGCTGACAAACTTGATAGAAAGGCCCACAAAATGCCTACGAAATCCAAAAACAAGCCTAGCCTCCGCTTGGAAAGTACATACACTGATACAGCGGAATTTTGGCAATCTTCCAGAGTTGTGACCGACTCGCACGAATATCAGTTTAGTACTTATTAGCTCGTCACGCCACTTCTGGCGCCCGCAAACTCCCCGGACCCCTGCTGTGACGTAGGGGATTATTACAGCACGTCAGAGGTTGTAGACGTGATCAGGCAGTGCCCATCAATCCTTGCCAAAGATAACTTTATATGGCAACTGATGGACGTCTTGTGTACAAGGCAGGACTAAAGTTCAGAACCTGACATGACTCACGGTACTCCCTAGACCACAGGACCCGTCAAACTGTTACTAGTACTTCATGATCACTTCACACTACACTCAAACTGTAGGATAACAAAATAAACATGGCCTGTATTTATATATCGTTTGACCAGAACGAAGCCGACAAACTGACCACAGAATTACTGCCCAATAATCCCCCACGCTGTTTGTTCTCAGTGGCTTCGCATGCGGACTAGAACCTTTCCCCCCTGATCCGGTATCCGCCCGGGAAACGTGAGATTGAGCGGGCCTAGTCCGCGGTTTCCGTTGAACCCCCGGCCTTCCCGGAAACGCAGAAAGAGACGGGAAGTGGGCTGGGCAGCGCCCGCGTGGAGAGTTGGGATAAATTGAGGCCCGGCTGACGGAGTAGCTCAGTTCTGTGCACCTCATCGCTTCATCTGCGGTCGCGCCAGACGAACTCTCTCTCTCCTACAACGATGGCCCGTGGTGCGTTCCTGTGCTTGTTGGTGGCGGCCTGTATGACCGGCGGGGCCCTGGCCTGCTCCTGTATGCCGACTCACCCGCAGACCCACTACTGCTTTGCAGACTTCGGTAAGGCTTTGGTTCTTCCCGTTGATTTATACTTTTATGTTACCACGCGGTGACCGCAACTATGTCAACTGCAGTGGTCAACGTTGATCGTTCTGCGGTTGTTGCTTAAGTGGTAATAAAACGTCTGGGGTTTAGCCTTTAGGAGAAGACACCAAATGTGACCAATCGACTTCTGTCCTTCTGTGATAGTCCTTCCTTTGGTTAAGAAAAACTTCTTGCCACATTCCTTCCTTTGGTTAAGAAAAACTTCTTGCCACATTTGCACAGTCTCATGAAGTATTGGACGGAGAGGTTGCTGTAGTGACTTGGGTAAAACTCATTCGTCACAATGAGAGGAAAGTCTCTGGTCGATAGCCTGTTGAGCCCAGTGAGCTGGGATATTACAGTACTTTGGGCCCAGTGTGCTATGGGTCTGGCAACCAGGCCACTGGTCGAAGACAGTAGGGAGTTTAATGGCCTTTAATCAGTGCAAAAATGCTATATCGTTTGTCTAAGAAATAAATGGATGCTCATTTTATCTAGGGCTTTATACATATTTAACGACATGTGTATTTCAATATGTATTTCAATATGTAAAAGGCGTATCATGCATTGCCGCACAACCGCTTTCATACTTTGTATTCACATAAGGCAGAGTAGGCAGTGTTCAGGTCCTTCACCCTTCAGACATTATCTTAGTGTGTCATCTGTTTGTTATGTCGGCACATCGCATGACAAGCTGGAGACTTTCCTTTGCATCAGTGTGGTCTTGGCACGAAGTCCATCTCTATCTTACATCTTACGACTTGTTTTCTTGTCCCACTTAATTAAGTTGTCCGTGCCAAGGTTGTGGACGGGCCGCATCTGTACCAGCCGGACGGAGTGCCCTCCCCTGAGCCGGAACCGGAGGCAGATGGTCTGCCGGTCTACGAGCTGCCGACTGACGCGAGCTTGGAGAGGACAACCCTGCCGCCTCTGCCGGGGCAGGTACGTTTGTAGAACTGTTCCTTTTTGTTTAAGTACATTAGGGTCAACATGGGTACACGAGGGTCTGCATGCCCCATGGCACCGTTTGACGGTAAATTCGGGAAGGCCAGCAACGCTTAACTGTAAATTTGTAGGGACGGCTAAATTCAGGAAGGTCGGCAACGCTTATACTTAAAGGTAGAATAAATTATCATAACTCGGTGGCTAGCGCTAGCGGCATAAATGATTAAAACGTACATTTCCAAAGCAAATATGATAAATTCAACCTGAAGTGGAGCGTGAAAAATGTGCTTAAATCTGAATTTAGGGGTGTTTAAAATCCTATTAGTTTCATAATTTTTTAAAATCTCAATCTACAAGGCTTGCGCCTGTTTTACTAGACTCAACATCGTTTACATACACGGCTGCGCTGTAATATTTGGTGATCCGTATCTTGCTTACCAAACACCGCCAGATTCACGACACGGCAAATGAACGCCTGTTGACCGTCCTTTTAGTTCTTGTCACAATGCCAAGGATACAGCCGATTGACATCAGAAGAAAAACACTTGCAACCCTATACACCACTGAGCGTGTAAACAGGGTGATTCATGTTCGGTCTGACTTGACTTTGCTGTTGAATATGTTGATATCTTACACAACAGCGCTAGCTGCGTTTGATGAACTGTTGGTCTAAGTTTTCTGTGCTCCTGTTTTAATTTTTTCCATATACTGAACTAGCAACATATATAGTAACATTATCCGTTCACCTACAGGACGACACGCCATCTACCGACGTCCACAGGTACCGTATCTCCATCAGTAAGAACTTCAAGGGACAACTGGGAAAAGATGTGGACCCTTCGAACGTGTACACCATGGCAGAGACGTCTTTGTGCGGGATCGATAAAGAACTCAAGTCTGGACAGCTCTACCTTTTGGCAGGTAAAAAATGGCAACTTTGTTCTTTCGGCATTCTTCGCACGATTCTTCCTACCGTACATCACGCTACTGGGGTTGTATGACGGACAGCAAATGTTTTGAACTTCTTCCATTCCCTCACAAACCTTCTGATTTTGGAGTGTCACGCTTAACCCCTATACTGAATCGGCATGTCTGTCTGCAGATAGAGTCCGACACAAAACTGTTTAGTGTCAGAATCAACCCGCCCTTGGCGTTTACTTAGTCTTAAGATTTAACGAGGCACCGATGTTTAGTGTAAGTTGTCAACTAGCTTCAAGAATTCCCACGGAGATGAGACGGCTGTGAAAACTTGAGGTGACTAATAGTTGGCTCGCCTTGCATGTTTTTATAAACACATTTTTTCACAACAAAGACTTCAAGCTTAAGCGACGGGACCTAAAACATCACAAACACCATTACTGAAACTTGGACCGCATCAGGAAATGGCCAACAAAAGGCTCATGTATTATTTTTGTAGACCGTCGACAGAAAACTATGGGATGATCTTACCTCTGAGTAGTCGCTACATAAACATCAAAATAAACACAAGAGACAATCACAAAAAGGTACCCCAAAGTCAGGATGAGTCGTTCTTTGGCTATAGACCGCAAAAGGAAATGGCAAACAATGGTCTCGCCATGGTGCTTTTAAGCTTGGCTTATTGAGTTTGTTCTAATACCCGTGTCCAAGTTCTTTACTCGAACACCGAACTGTACATTCATTTCCCCTATTTCTCTTTACCTTCATATCTAACACAGAGCAGTCCCGTTCTTAGTAGTCTCGCGGAGATGAAGCCCATGCATGGTCCAGTGACAAAAGATTCACAACATTTCTTTGAGTCGATCCTTTCAAAGCAAAGGGAGATATGCCCTTATATTACGCCATCAACGAGCGATGTGATCGCTAGCCTCGGCACCAGGCCGACGTGTACTACTGTTATGGCTAATATATAGACATTATTTCACAACCGGAGCGCTTGACTTGTAAGGCTGAACAGCAATTAGATCTAAGAACATTCCAAGGACAAAATTGCAAGACTATATCATCGCATCATATTCACCATTCCTTCATCTTTTTGATCCTGAACATACAAAAACGATTATTCTATTGTTGTTCTTCATTATTGTTATTAAGAACCCCCACTCCCATCCTTGTTTCACAGGATACATCTATAAGAACAAGATGCACGTGGGACTGTGTAGCTGGGTCAGTCCGTGGGAGGAGGTGACAGAGAAGCAGAGGCGTGGACTCAAGTACATGTACAGAGACAACTGCGAATGTGCCGTAAGTAAACAATTTGGCCTCCAACGTTTTCACTCAAGACTAGATCTGCACGTTGGAAACTTATAACACGAACGTTGCTTATCCCCGGATGTAATTTTGTATAGAATCAACTAGATTGTAAACCTAGCTTGGACACACTTCTTGAGTAGATGGGGGCTTGCAACGGACAAGATTCTTCGTTTTATTGCGTATTTTTCCCTCGAGCACTTTTCTGTGTGCACGTTTTCACTTTTGGGCGTTTTTTTTTCTGGTACGATGTCCTTCTAAAAGAGAAAAAAATATTTTGCCTGAAAAGAATAAATCAAACTTAACGAAAACTGTTCTTTTGCCCCATTCTAGATCCAGCCGTGCCTGCGCGGTAAGACCTGCACACCCTGGGACGACAAGACGTGCCTGTGGGACGACATGTACACCACTGACTGTACCCGCCGCCTCAGCGCATGCGTGAAGAACTCCGCCACCGACTCCTGCAGCTGGTTCGTGCACCAGGCCATGCGGGACTGCACCAGCCCCATCTCCCCCGAGGCCGCCGGCAACATCCCGGAGATCCCCCAGCTGCCCGAAGTGGACGAGCCCTTCTACCCTCAGGTGGATACTCTCCTGCCGCGCCCTGCCGGCGGAAATGGCGTCGTCAACGGCGGAAATGACGTCGACCGTGAGATTGAGCGGTTCGAAGACAGCAGCAACGAGGTCGACCCTGTCGCCTACCCGGTGGAGAAGGCGGACGACTACCTGGACGAGTCTATCGACGTGTGGTTAGGCCGCTGGGGCATCGACGGGGGCGCCCCCTGAGAACCCACCTGTAATCATTCACCAACCCCTTATCAAATTGACCCCCACCCCCGCCCAACGATCGAATTTCGCATATAAGTTTCGTATTACTATTACTAACGTGTGATTTTAAGAAAATCGATCTTCATTTGGTTTCTTTTGATTAAGATCAAATATGTTTGTATTATATACCGATGCCTTTCTCATAATCATAAGGAATATATTGTTGTAGGGAAAGGAATAATAATGATGATGGGAATGAATAAGGGATTGAGTGCCGTAGCTGGTATTAATGTTGACTGCTTTTTCTGGTTGCTAATAGTTCTGGTGATGATGTTGTAAATAGCTGTGGAAAGGAACTTTTGTATGAATCAAGCTCAGCTGTCATTTTATTCCGCTATTATAAAAGAGTACAGAACGCACATCTGAAATGAAGGAAGAATACCAATATTGCTATATATGCGTATATGCTATAAAACATAAGAAAAAAACACATGAGAAATAGCCCCCTCCCCTTTAAACTCTTGTTTGTTATGAAGCCTTATTAACACTGATGCTTCTCCATGTACAAGAACTAACTGAATCATGTTCGAAGTTATCAATGTGCTTAACCAATAGGCGTCGTCTGACTTGACACCCTCTAATAAAGGCTGAAAGCTATAAGTTTGTTTTTGACTGTGTTTTTTTTCTCGCAGAAAAGACTTATTACATAGTACTAGTAAGATGTAATCAGTCAAACACAAACCAAGGACGAACAAAACATCACAAAAACCATACATCTGCTTGCAGATTGAGCAAGAGGTACATGGATATGTCGGTAACGCGTGGTTATGCAATACCACTGTACACAAAGACAACAGAGGTATGATTATCGTGAAAATAAAGGTACGATTATAGGAGGAGTTGGCGGGAGGGTGTATTGGTACTCTAACGAAATAAAGCAGTCGACGCTAATCGCTGTTTGGGAGATTACATATCGTTTATAGGGGAGCCGTCTTGCGGATAATTTTGGCACGGCACAAAGACCTTGGCATGAGTCATCCTTCCCTTAGCTATCTCTCCTGAATTTAGATCCTACTTAAAGAGCGGCATTGGCCACAGGACCACACCGAATTTTCTAACATTTTCAGCACCTGTAAAAATAAATCGCCCGATAGGGGACTTGAACCCCTGACCCTCAGATCACCATTGAAGCCACACTTCGCTTAAAAGTCTGATGCTCTACCGACTGAGCTAACCGGGCGCTTTCTACATAACATTTGTGCCGTTGGACCTCCTCTCGTTTGGGGATTTGAATATGCACTCAATACAAACAGTTCGGAATCTGAACTTTACAATCATTTCTACGTTGTTACTTTTATCGATTGTATAGTACAATGTAATTTGTATCGATGGAAAGTTTATCCATTCCCCTTTAAAATTCGATGATACTAAATTTTTTCATCATCCTACGTGTAAAGGTTGACTATAATATGAATAATATGCATAACTAGCATGCCCCACCCTGGATTGAGTGAGCATGCTCCAAGCAACGTTGTTGTTGCATCCCCATAGTTACCTCGTCGAACGTATTTTTATACGAGGTAATATTCCCATGGAAACATAGAAATAAACTTATTTGTAAAATTTTGCCACACACTGACGAGAACTCTGATTGGTTTCTATCCACAATTCAAATAACGCGAATCTGTAATATGAGATCTCATTGGACGCCGACGTTACTTGCAAACAGCAGGTTGACTACGGCAAAAAAAAGCCCGCGAATTTTCTACTTAGGGGTTTTCGTAAGACCTACCGTGATTGGCTGAGGTCGTCCGTTAGACATGTAACACGAACTGCGATTGGTTAGAAGTGCCCCCTAACAAGTGGTACCTCTGCAGATGTGCCTGAGAGATCCATTCGCCTGAAATAAAATTCATCGGAAAGGTACGTTGTAATATCCTCTCATATAATATCGATCTCATATAATATCGATCTGTAGTGTTTGCATATCGGAACGACATACGATCGCCTCATACTGAAGTTCTTGTTACTTTTCTGAGATATATGATCAAATATGCGGGAGTAAATCGGAATTTCTGCTGATCCCACACAGGAATCGTCCGATCCGTGACAGAACAGTCTATCTTGTGTTGTGATAGCTGATATGCCAGACACGTCTTTAAACTCGTGTGAAGAAAATCTGCGTAAAGGTTTGACTACAACAACCATTGAATCCAACAACAACTAAAGTTTTCTGAAGTATCGCCCGTTCGATGTTGAGGTGTTGAGATCGTATTTAAAGAAGGGCAGGTCTTCCGAAATCTGTTAATATGATTTTCGTCCAGATTTTCAGGAATCGGGCTTTCTATGATTGACGATACCAGACTGGTGTAGACTGATCCAAGCCGTGTTGCGGGGAGATCAGTCATGTTTTACTCACAAGACATTCTCCAGAAAAGAGGCGGGAAATTCGGGATTATCTGGTATGTGACACGAACCTATTGATGTTCATCATCATATCTTTGGTCTTGGAAAATGTTTTATAATGATTTGGCATGTCATGATGATGATCTTTTTGCATCTTACTAGATCATGTAAGCATCTTTTTGTCATTTCGTAGCTGATGAACTTTAAGAAAATGTTTTGTAATGATCCATACAAAGTGATCTTTCCATTGAAAAGATTCACACATTCGTGTGTAACTTTTCTATTTGTAGGATTGCTGCCACGCGAGCCAGTGACCTAACCAAGAGAGACTACAGTGCCGTCAATGTGGCCAGGACATGGTTTGACATTTTGTCTCTGTCACCAACTTGTAGTTCTGTTCAAGCTCTGATAGCATAGGTCAGACTTTAGTATCCAAGTGTAAAATAAGTCTGTGACAAGTCATCACAGGCTAACCATTTTTAGTCAATAACTATGCTTGTAGATATATCCATTGTAATCTATTTATCTATCCATCCATCCATCCATCAATCAATAAATCAACTTTAATGCACAAGTTGTTGTTACACTCAATCTAGATAAAGACTAATATCTAGTACATTATTCTATTCATAGTGAACAGGAATGACATACTAAAGTAAGAGTATGATAAATCAGAATGCACAGGAGACATGGTGTACATTGAAAAGTTTGCGTGTGAGATGATGCAGTCTCTTTGTGTAGAGTGCTAGATACATGACATTGTGTATAAGGATGCCATAATTATGATGTGTACGTGTATGATATGTATTTTGATCTTCCCTCCTCAGTGAGGAAATCATCAGCCACTTGACTGGACAGTCCAGGGCCCGTTACGATCGCGGTCGCTTCCCTCGTTTCTCCCTGTATCTGTCTGCTCAGCTGATGTTTGGAGTCACTCTGGTGCACGGAAAACATGCAGAGTATCTGTACGGTAAGTCCTAGTGCTGTAACGTTTAATATGTTTATTTTGTAGAGAAGGAAATTCGCGATATTTCAAGTTTGCAGTTGAAGCAATTCTGTAGGAATAAAACCATGCCAACCTTTCAACTTTGCAATGTATGCTAATCTGTGTGTGTGTTTGTTTGCTTGTTTGTTTAGGTGATGCAATGACACTTCAGAGTAAGTTTATTCCCAAGAGACGAGTTGCACCAGGAGGACTGATCATCATCAGTACTAAAGACATTGATATGAGGACCTCAACTAGGTAAGACTGCAGCCATGCTAGTAGTAGCCTGGATACCAGACTTTCTAGCTCAATACATACAAATGTAATGTGACCACCTTGACAGGAAAGCAACTGAGAGAGCGTACTCAAAGCTGAAAAGGCTGGTACCCAGGTCATGCCAGCAGAACTGAATCAAAGTTGGCAGACACATCACATAGAAGGCATTTACATAGCGTATAACAGTTTGGGCTTGCAGTTCTGTTCATGCCCAGTAGGTGGCCCTTTTGAATACATGTTTGTTGTCAGGAGAGCATGATAACCTGAGAGATGTAATAGGAATATTGGTATCGTGCACGCACAGACTTTTCAGAATAAACCAAATCAGCTTCATAAACACAATTGCAGAATTTTCATCTCTGAATTTTCATCTCTGCAACAGTTCATGTAATGATAACATGGGGTCCACACTTTTGCTGACATAACCATTATAAGTTGAAATGGAAATTTAAATTTTTTTAAAGGTACAAACAGCTTTTTTTAATATTTCAAGCGATTATTGTGATAAAAAGGCTAATTTTCTAATGTTTATACAGACCAACAGAAGCCCTGAGACTGGAGGACCCTCTGGACATGTACCGACCAGGGCTGGTGGAGCTTGACCCAGAGTTTGGCCGTCTGAACATCCCGGAGGACATGATAGAACCAGACTTCCTGCCATTTGGAGTGAGTGCATTGTTGTCATGGTTATCTCACTATCCTGGTTCTCTAGAACTTCAGTTGATGTTATTAGCGGTGACCATAATGTGTTACAAGCACTATACCAAAAATTGTTTAGGGCAAGTATGCAACAATTTGTAGAGGTTATATTTATAGACATGCATGCAGTAAAGTAGAACATATAATACGACATAAATCAAGCAATGGGATAAATTCTCTGTTAGTTAAGCCAGAGGTTTCAGATAGCCTCAGTGACAGACTGAGATGGACGTAACATCGCTTTGTTTCGGCAGCCGGAGATGATCCACTTCCCTCTGGCCCCTCCTACCCCTGACTGGTGGCCAGGACGGGGGAGGGACACCAGGAAGCCACGGTCACCTCACTCACCGGGAAGTCCTCCAGGTAAAACACTCCCATCAATACATTACATTTCTGCTACATGATGCAGGTGTGTGCATCCTGTATGAAAAATCCTCTATCCAAAATTACTTGCGAAAGAAGTGTTAGGGAGAGAGGGTGAAATAATGTCATGGCCAGTGAGAGGTAAGCAATAAGGTGGTGACAGTCGGCTGATTTGCCTACCAATAATTTGCATATGTCTTCAAGTAATTTGCATGTATATGTTTTGTAAACAAAAACAGAGCTCGTATACCAGCAAGCAATTGCGATTTTGATGTAAGGAGTATAATTCTTCACCAATGACAAAAATTAAATCAGAGCACCGTTTCTGCTCCCTCACCTACATGGGGAAATTAACAATTGAAATGGAGGAATTTGAATGTTGAAGAAGCTCAGAAACTCATATCTGCTTTCTTTGTTGTTGATCAGGCTACGATCCAAACCAGGTGAAGGATAAAAACGACATCTCCCTACCTGAACACGATTGGCCGTCACTAGATCAGGTGTGTAAACCACTTGGAGATGGATGGGAAGAACTGAGCACCTGTGGTTATGTCAACCCTAGCTTTGACTATACCAGTGCTGTCAACTCTTAGAATTCGGCATCCAGCAGGGTACACTTTGATCACTACATTTAAAGAAACAATGACATTGACGAGATCTACTTATGCAACATCAGTCATCCCCAAAGTATGCTCAAAGTATATACAGATGTTTAAGAAAATGCCTTGATAACTCTGTTTTTTAATGTGGCAGTTTTAGGCTAGGGTACCTTGCAAAATGATGAGTGTTGATGCTACATACTACTGCATGTAAGTCTGATACTTACTTACCACTAATTTGTAAGAAAAGTGATGTAATCTGCTTATTGAGTGGTATCAACTTTTAGCAGTAGGCAGGTGGCACATAATTTTATCTTGCATGTGCCATGCTTAAGTGTTACAACCTGTGCAGAACTTCCTATCTTGAACTTTCCAAAGCGCTTGTTTCAGTACCATGGACATTTCCAACTGCTCTGATGGTCGAAATTAGTCGATCTGTTAGAAAACAGCTGTGATGAGTATGATTTATGAGAGAGAGGTTCAAAGGAAAGTTGCAAGGATGACAGTAGTGTTAGGGACAGTAGTACTGAGTACAAGTCCTTGTTTGTGATCAGATGCCAGGTAAGGATGATGATGATCTCCAGCCTCCACAAATGGGCGATCCTCTGATGAGCAGTCTGTCATCACCGGAGAACGGAGACAAGGAAGGGCCAACCCAACCACCCATGGAACAGCCAAGCAGGAAGCGACCAGACAGGGAGAAAAGTGATAAACCCCCAAAAAGAAAGGTATGGCATCTGCCTTGTAATGGCAAAAGAAAGCATATTGAGCTTTTCTTTTGAAATGGACACTTTATGTCTGCCTTGTTTGGCTCACTTGTCATGTCAAAGAAAACCATCAATTTCAGTTTTGATGAAAAGTTAGCTGATGTGGTGACTAGACTTCTGGGTACTAGTAGTATTTTGGGTTTTCCTGATGGAACAACTAAGAAGATTGTATGATGTGCTTGCATTTTAACCAGGACAGAAACTATGGAGGCTTGGATGGTTTTTCCTCCAGTTAAATTCTAGCTGGAAAACTTCACCCCACTCCCACCAAATAACCCAGTCTGGACATGGATCCACACAAACTCGACAACTAAACATTACACTTCCATACCCTTCTTTGATGACTGAGAAGTGCTTACCTTACCAACAGAAACCATCTGACCCTAGAGAACCAGAAGCAGAGCAAGACTTGCCAAGAGATGTTGAACCCCTGCCCATGTACGTACACATAAGAACTTCAAATATTGCATTTATTTTCTGATTATCTTATCAGTGACATCCAGAAATCTACTTGTACACATGTGTATCAGGATGTCAAATTCTGTTTTATAATGCCGAGGGGCTTACTTTCAGTGAAACATACATTGTGTGAAAACTGATATGACTGGCTATGACCTAAGAATAGTGACAGTTGAGGAACTATTTCTCGGTCTGCCATGTTTTCTACAACCCCATGTTTTCTTTGTAGGGTGGAATCCCCACCTTCTTATGAGCGTCGACTACCAGGTACTGATACGGAATCGCCAGGTATGCTCATGCAAAAATACAATCTTCAAGTTGTTATGTACAAAAATTGAGCTAAGTGAAGTTCTCTGTCTCTTTGTTTGCATGTTTAAAAACAAGACATTTTCTATTATGCAACCATTGTAAATAAAAATTTTGTGGAGAGGTATCTGCTGACAGAAAGAAAAACTCATTTTGTTGTCCCCCCTTAACAGATGAGAACATTGTCTTAAAATTATGGGTAAAAGTTTCAAAGGTGAATGATTTCTAATGGTTGAAAGTATTGATGATTTTTTAAAACAATTCTAAATGCTGGATGTTTCCATAATTTTGCAGAGAACGGAATCAGCCCCTCGCAGGTGTGTAATCCATTTATTTCTGCACTATTGAAGAAATGCTAAATGTAACATTGCTGGCAGGGTAGTCGGAGAGTATTTTGCTGTTCTGCTACATAACACAATTATAGTGATATCTGTCTGAAATAGTGAAACTGTAGAAGTACATGTTGTCATACCATTCTCTTGCTATGACTTTGGACAGAATGTTAAGCCATTGCCCATTGCTCTTTGTACTTGTTGAAAAAGGCTTGGGGAATTTCCATGGTACATTCCTGTTGTATAACTGTACAATAGCATTTGTCTTCTCTGTCATGACCAGGGGATGATTTAAGATCTTCAGTGAGCTAAACTGGTTCGAGATAACTTCCATTTTCATCACATGTAGCTGAAGCTGCCCCCTCTGCCTGAGGATGAGCTGAGAACTCCTCCCCGCCGCCCCCGGCCCGGGCGGGGTCCTATGATAGACAGAGACACCCAGCTGACCAGGGAGGAGGTCAGAGACAATCTGGGCCATCCCGAACGGACCCTGGCACCTCTGGTGGGTCACCACAACCCTCGGCACCTAGGGTTACACTCCTATGTTCTGACACTCCTATGTTTTGACACCTCTTTGTTCTGACATCCCAATGTTCCAACAACTCAACCATGTTCTGACACCCCTGTGTTAGGACATAGGGTTAATGTTATCTATTTTAATTAATGTTTATTTATTTTAGTTAATGTTGTTGAACGGTATTTATTTTAGTTAATGTTGTTGAAAACAACACCCCTATGTTCTGTTTTGACACCGCTATGTTCCAACACCCCTATGTTCTAACACCCTATGTTCCAGCAACTCTACCTACATTTAATATATGCTATGACAACCCTATGTCAGAACTTAAGGGTCTTGGATCATAGGGGTGTTCTCTCATCCAGAGGCATGAGTAGAATAGGCAAATGTGAGCCTTAGAATTCTTCAGGAACTTCCGTCCTTTCTGTCCTGTACACCCTGTGCTGTCCTTTCCCCGGTGCTGACCTGCCTTCCATCCTCATGTAGGTCCCTGCAAACCCCAAACCTCTCCCAACAGCAGACCAACTCTTCACACAGCCATGTATAAGTAAGCACTCCTGCATGTTAGTTGGTTTGTTGTTCTTTTTGGATTAGATAATTTCCTTCACAGTGTTATGTTAAGGTTCATTTCTTTCACTCTAGCTGTGAACATTTATCCATGCTTTAGACTGTGCTTCAAGATTGGATTTCTTGCCATTGGTGCATTTTTATCTGTTAGCATCCAACCACTTGAAGGACTTGGCTAGTTTCTTATCTATCATGTGCCACTGATAAAAGTGTGAGCATCTTCCTTCTCAAGACTTTTTATTTACAGTATAAAAGAGCTGGTCAGTTCATGTTATGAACTAGGGCTGCGTACCTAAACGTAACATCAGGTACAGGTACAGGTACTGGTACAGAGGTTTAGGTACCGGTCCGGACCTGTACCTGTACCTGAACAATTTGACAAATTAACACGTGTTCTTCACTTTTTCAATCATGACACAGAAACAATAATAAAGTGTTGGAGGGAAGGGAAAATGACTGACCTCTGACCTGATTTGAGTTTGTTGACCAATCGCAACCCTGGATCAGCCACACTCTCGCGATGTCTCGTGAGACTGAGGATCTCAAATCAATCGACGGTGTTTACGTCTTTTCCAGTGCTAATTTTTCGTCTTTGTGGTAGGATTTACCTATCTTTAGTCATATACATGGTGTAAACTAGCTATTTCGGTATATACTCGTTACTTCATGATCCGGTATTTTGGACCTGTACCGAAACGATTTTTACGGTATTGGACCGGTACAGTGTACCGGTCCGCAGCCCTATTATGAACCAAAAAAAAAATCTTCCCATCCAATCACGCAATATTACAGAAGTAAGAACTTTGGGACCAGACCCTTACATTTTGCACTTCCATCTACAGGGGTGCACAACCCAGCCCTGCTGCGCCCCTGGCAGCGGAAACCTGGCCTCTTACCCCGGGAACATCCACTGGAAGGTACCATCACTTCCAGCTATTACTAGAGATACAAAAGATGTATGTACAATGTATGGGGTGGATAAACCCACAAACCAACCTGCATGCTCTGCAATGCAATCAACCAGCAGTATTAGACATACAGAGCTGCATAGTTCCCATTTAGAACTAAATCTAGCCTGTTAGAATATAAAATTATGTAGATTGGTTTCACTGAATATGGCTCTCATAGTTTAATCTAGTAGACTCCAAACAGAATGTACATGTCTTGAATGAGGGTTGATTGCAGTGCAAGCTTACACGTTGCCGATAAGACTATCCACCCCATTATGTTGATTACATTATTTCTTGGAAGTCATCATCATTTTATCTATAAATATTATTCATCAAATACTTCCCAAATAATAACACCCTTTCAGCAGTTAGTTAGAAAAAAGCAAGAAGCAACAACGATCAAATGTCATTACAAAGTTAGTCTAAAAAATTTTTACAGTTTGTTTCCACCTGATATAAAGTATGCTTTCAACAGGTCTGAATTTCTACTTTTCCATATTAATTTGAGATACATTTTGATTGTACTAACCCACATTTATAAGTATTTATTTTTATTTTTACTTTTCTATCAGGAGAGGATGCTTGGTGGTCTCCTGAGGTAAGAAATGTCATACTTTTCTTGGTCTGTTGGAAAGATTTTACAGTAGAGTTTGAAGACTCTTTGAGCAAGAAGGAATTCAGGTTTCCAATTGGGATCAATCTTCAATCTACAGTGCAGTAAATGCCAGTTCTGAGCTGTGGAGTTTGTCTAGATCTTTAGATTTGTACATTACTGGATTTCTTTCCATACATTTCTTTAATAACCTTTTTTTTACCACTCCCCTACATTATACAATATGGACTTTAAGGTCTGTTCCTAGCAGCACATTTTAGCTATGCAGAAAAAACAATTTAGCAATTGACAGTATCTTGTAACCATAAAACTTTAGTCATGCCAAATGCTGACAAATATTATAAAACAATTTTTACTGCAGGAAGAAAGATCTCGAGGAGGTCCAGACGTATCCAAAGAGCGCCTGAGAGATCCAACTTTTGATGAAAGCCTCCCGGGCCCCAAACGGCCCAGGATGGATGTGTCGGGAGAGTCTATAGGTCTGTGGGTCATTGTAAACTATGTGTAGTGTGTAACAGTGCCTTCATGATTCTGTGCATATGTAGAAAGTGTGGGAGTGGTATATGTTTGTAACATCTGCTGCTGTGGAATTATTACATTTGAAGCCAGAAGAAGGAAGTGAACTCACCCCTTTATCACATGCTTTCTCACCTCAGTGACATTTTTATATTATGTCAATAATGACAGTATAAAAACTGTTAATTCACTTAGATGCCTTCATACACAGTCACTTCTGGCACCACTACCTCAGTTTGGTTTACAAGTATCTTGTTATGATAATTAATATATCTGCGTGTAAGCCGAAAGTTTTTGTTCTGTGTATTTGAAAGTGTGATCTTTTTGTTACGTGAGAACTTTGTAGTCATCCCTGTCCTTGGTACTGAAATGCTGACTTCTCCATTATACCAAATTAGAATCATGTTCACAGCATGATGTTTGTATTCTGTCCTACTAAGTCTAAAAAGTACATGTATTGTCTACTTTATTTCCATATTTTCCAGTGTGTTTGGCAAGAAAACAAACTGGCACCAATGTGCTGTGGACACTTGTCTAATGGCTATCAATAATAGTTTTTGATGCTTGTCTGTAGATACGAGCAGCGCGTCTGACCAAGTTTCTGACCATGGCCCAATGCCAGGAGAGGACATTCCACCTAGAAGGTACAATTGTGGCATCTCTTTTTGATCTATATTGATTTTGACTTGACTTAGACACACTAGTTCTATCTTCTTACATTTTCCCACCACATTAGTGGCAAGTTTCTTGTTCGTTAACAGATAAGGTAATTAAAGATCATTCTGGTTTTGCCACTAACAAGTAATGAAATGCTAAAAATGCTATAACAGTGGACTGGTTAATGGCAAGTCTTGTCGTCGACAGGACATTGCTCCGATAATCTAGCCTGGTACTCAAAGCTATTTTAGCTGTCGAGTCTCTTTCATCCTATTTGCAAATAGTATGGCAGGCATAGTGGATTGGCCTGGTAGTGGTAATGTTGATTATCATTAGCCTTGTGTCCAAACTTATTATAGCTGCTGTGTCTCTTTCGTCCTAGAAGCAAAGTGGTACCCAACAAAACAAGGCCAGACCTATTTGCAAAAAGAAAACAAGAGAATTGGCAACCCAAATAGGTTTAGATACTTTTAAGGCTGCCAATACATTTACTGCAATGTTCTAACACACTATGATATGTCCATCTCTTTTGTCCTGTATACAGAAGACCCACCGACTTAGGTCCTACTCCATATGATTCTATACCAGAAGAGCCTGGACCTGAGCCAGGTAAAGTTGTTAGTTTTAGCTGATCTTAATGGTTAAGATACTGTTATTATGGTATCTTATAAAATTGAACTGCATGTACATGTATATGTTTCGTTTCTTCTCAAACCTAAAATGTACGGCACAATCATCGTGGACAGCCCTGACCCTTCGTAGGTGCATCTTACAATGCATAAGATACTCTGTTCTTACCTCTGAAATTAAGAGTGAGGATTGCTAATTTTTTTCCAGACATGCCTGAGCTGATACCCCCTGAGGAGTCTGTGGTCTCCCCTCAGCAGACCACCCCCCCACAGGTCACCCCTCCACAGGAGAAGACTCCTTCCAGTGAGTCTCTCAGCAGCAAGGAGTCCCTCTGTGAGGCGCGTCCCAAAGACCAGGTCCGCTTTAGCCCTCTACACCTGGTCCGCTCCAGAGTGTCCAGGGAGGAGTTAAACAGGTGACACACTCTCTTCTCAGGTACAGATGGGATGGGACGGCATTGGTGTGAAAAATTGGCATCGTTCTGAAATGTTTTTAAGGAACCCCACTAACTTTTATTCACCGGGTTACATCAAGGAGGTTGTTAAAAATCTTAACCTCCCTTAGTACGTTTGTAGACTTGTTGGAGGCTAATGAAGATGACGAAATGTATGATGAGCATCAGAAAAGAATTGACTATGTACATTACAAAGTGGTTTAGAATTATAATACATGTATATGGGTATATTGGTAAAATGAAATGGCTTGTTGGGAAGAGGCAGACATTTTGAGGTGTAGCCAAGCTTTTACTAACAGAAAACATTTCTTCTCCAGCAAACTTGCAAAAGCCTTAGAGGACCACGATTCTACAACATTCGACACCCAGGCTCCTCCTGAACAGGTTGACAGAGCAACAGCTGCCCATTTCTTCTACATCTGTCTTGGTATGGTATCTTCATATTACGTACAATGTATTTGCACCTGATTAGTAAAGCGATTGTTCATTATGTGTTGAAAAGTGTTTGAAGTTGCTGGAAACCAGTGCTAATCATTCTTTTGAGAAGGAAAGCCTCAGTAAGATCACTCTATCATTATCTGTGTGTGTTTGTGTGCATGTTTGCTGGAGTGTTCATACAGTTGGGCAACAGCACAGAACACAAAGGTCAGGCACAGGACATTAGGTTCCAGCAAATGGCCCAGAGCCAGCAGGATGACTTGAAATCTGTTAGCTGGGTGCTAGTGGGAAAGTGCACAGATGTAAACAGAAAAATTCATCATAATGAGTGAGGATCAGTGTTATGTTTGCTTACAATACGCAGCACTCATTACAGCAGTAAAATGTGCCTCCATTCCCTACAGCTTTTAACAAAGAGCAGAAGATCCAACTGCATCAGGAGATGCCATATGGAGACATTGTCATCGAGAGGGGAACAAGATTCGCAACAATGCAAGCAGCAGCTGAGGCTTCAAAATCAAAGACTTACTGAAACCATGGTGATCGTCAGATCATCAGAGATTTCTATCAACATTCCTGTTTAGCTTGTTGCTGATTGTTGACAGGTTTAGGTTCAGAGTTACGTTAGAGCATCTACCTACCAACCTGCACTACTTTCAGCTGAAACTGTATTCCAGTGCCAAGATATTGATATTTAGTCACAATGAGCAATAAACAACCATAGTACAAGTATGAGTGAGTTCTGTTCTAACAAGTTAAAACAAGCTCATTTTTCACTGAATACATTGTACACATACACATTATGTATTTTGCTGTGTGCAAATATTGTGTGATATTGAGCCCTGGCAGTGACATGATCCATGGTTAGTCTGTAACCATTGTATCATTTGCTATTCTTTTTGTGCTCAGACAAGTTGAACAATATTCTTTTAAGTATCAAGGTTGAAAATACCAAAAACTGAAAAAAAGGTAACATAGTCCCAAGCTCTACTTTCAAGTTAATATTTTCAAAACTTGACAAGGTTCAAGAACGTTATAAACTTTTATTTTGCATTTGTTGCAAAGATTTTATTGAAAAAATGCATTTTGTTCATCTGTATTCACAGTGTTCTTTGTGACTATATATATAAAACACTTCAGAGCCCACGTCAGACACATTTGTCTTTGTTAGGTATATGTACACATGCATATTGACAGCAAAATTAATTGTAATGTGATATAACCATTGTTGTTGAAGGATTGATTTTTTGCACTTCGTAAGAGCACAATAACATTAATGGTATATGAATTTTTAATGCTCTGCTTTAGTTGTAGATCATTAGGAAGATTGTATTAATTTCAACATAGTCACCTAGACTCCACAAACTCGTTGTTTGCAAGAGATATGTTACGTTGATGTAAAAGTACAAGTGCCTGATGTTACTTACTGTTGACAATGTTTGGATTGCAAGTAAAATACCAAATGAAATGTGTGAATGAAGACGATTAGGTAAAGATGAGATGAGAATATTTAAAATCCTCACAAAAAAAATATTCCAGTTGCTGGTTACAACACTGTTGCATTTTTGTCTTGAAGTTTATTACATTGTGCAAAGCAAAAACATCTGTTTCTTATTATCTTAAATGTAGATCAAATTTCATATTTCTAAATTAAAATTTGAACTTATGTGCAGTGTGCTACTTTGATGGATAAATTTGATGCGTCCCATGATAAGTGATAAGAGAATTAAATACTGCATGGCTGCATTAATTTTCAAATAAATATTTTCATTACATGTACTTAAGTGTGTGTTTCTTTGCTAAGAAACTGCTCAGCTCAGAAGAGTACCGTGGTTGGCTGCCTGAACTCAGAGGTGACGTCAGCGGTAGGGTAACAAGACAAAGAAACCAACTAGACCGATTGCCAGTACACACAGAGCGGTACAGAAACAGTCCAATCCCATTCTTAACCAGTCTGCTAAATAACAGCATGTAGAAGAAGTTTTATTACTATAGATGATGTTTTTTATTACTATAGATGACGTTTTTAACCGAATGACTAAGATCGTAACCTGCGTATTGTAAATATTTTAAAATAATTTGCTGTTTTTAACTGTTTTAATACTTGCTTGTAATATTTAAGTCAATCGTATTTAAACACTTATGTAATGCGGCAGATCAATTCAGGGTCCTACGGGGACCCTGCCACTCTGTATCGTACGGTCAGAATGAAATAAACCACTATTATTATTATTATTATTTCCACCACATGGAGTGGTCCACGCTTTTCTGCACATACCTTTAGGATAATTAGTGGAATGTCCCTACACCTGTCATAGGTGAAGCAGTAGAAATACAATCAGGTCGTATTTGATATATCTTCTCTGTGTTCTCTTAATTTCAAAAGGGACATTTTTTGCAAAAGATATATATAAATGGTTTAACTGGGCCATGAATATAGAGATATGGCTAAATGTCAACTTTGAAAGAAACACCCCACACTCTACTTTCCAACAACTGGTCTTCCTTGCTGTGCTCAGTCAAGTTGAACAATTCTTATTTCTCTTGGATGACAAGACACATAGCAGGAATGACCCTTGACATTGAACTGAGACCAGAAAGTCCCAACTCAATGAAAGAGGCCATTGTTAGGTCACTCTGCTGGTACTGGGGATGTGACTTGCATTCATAATGTGGACTTTACATGTTAGGGCCAATTTGTACTATTAGGGTCAACTCTTCAAAACTACATTATCCTAGAATTAATGTCTCCTTACTCTATTGTACCTTCAGTCTTGTTTATGCATATACATGTGTATAAAAACCCAGTTGTATATAAAGAAGTGTAGTTTTCTTGTATACTTGTCTTACAGTTCTTATAAACATAGATGGGGACTCAGTACAACTCTCAATTCTGCTGGGTAACATTGCCACATAAAAACAGGGTGTTATGAAGACCCTCTCAAGAATGTTGTGAACACCTGAATACCTGAAGAGTGTACTTTAGGGATCACTGATACTGCATTTGTACATGTATTTAAATTCACTATTAATTTAATGTGGCAGTCTCAGGTAACATGACCCTGCAGAATTTGCCAACAGTGGATTTGGACCAAAATTCACTCAAGTTTGCAAGCCTCTGTAACACATTTTCATGTACCAGAAATAATATCACGCTTCACCAGGTAAAATGAAAATTTGATCTATATCATACTGTTGAATTGGGTCTGCCCAGAAGTGATGACAGGCCTTGACTGACCCACCCACGGTCTCACTATATCTCACCACTTACCAACACATGAAGGACAGCCCTGCAGCCTTTGGCAGACATCCTAAATCAATTTCCGATAATGCCACCAAACCAGCAACAATTTTATGACCACGTAATTGAATTTGCATTGGGGGCATAGATGGGCTTCCTGAGGGGACTTCCTGTTTCCTTACAGTATAACGTTACAGTCAGTCCAGTTCATACAAAATTTAGAGGCTGGTGTTGAAATTTCTAACTGTGATATATCCTTGAACATGTATTTGATCAATGAGACAAGCTGTGTGTGTGTTAGCCCTGTGTGCTTTTTTCTGAGGGTATATCAGTTCTTGGTTACAGAGGCTGCACCTATGAGAAACCCTGTACTACCGTAAGAATCGATATGCCATATAAAGAAAATCATAAGGTTGGTCCAAAGAACCCTAATTCCTGAAGACTGTTGAGGCTATCACAGTGTGAAAGGTGCCTTACCTGGTCAAGTGATGTCATCACTTTGTTCTGTACTACGTAATATAATGTCCAGTGATGGTGGCATGTCAATGAGTTTAAATTTGCAAATGGTTTTCTAGATTTCCTAACAGTAGACAAATATCAGAAGTGGAATCCCAAAATTAAGTTGTGCAGGTTACTGGTACCTGTAAGTTAAATCTGGCTCATTGACCTGCACAAGTCCAAGTTGTATCCCTTCTTGACTCGAAGCACTATGTACAGACTAGAGATTCTGCTTGACTGAGCCATGCATTCTTCCACACAGTACAGCCATTCTTACACCTGACCCCTTTCCTCAATCACACAAGTGATACTTCACGGTAAATAATACAGAGTAAACAGACCACCGGAGCTGATGATGGCCTACATACTACACACCTGTTTTGGCCCCAAACACACCAGGGGAGTGACTCACCCCTTTTAACCCACTGTTGACATCATATGACTGAAAGATAGGGTGACACTGTCTGAGGCACTTACTATTTTGGGCTTTGCCAACAGCCCATCCCACTAACTCTATATGCTATCTCCTCTAGATCTGCAGAAAGTCCTTTTGAGGGAAGCTGGTAGTGAAATAAGAGTGGAGTATACTAGAGTTGTCTGTAGGCAGGTAAAAGGTGTGTTAGCTTCACCACTTCAAATTCCTGCTAGGTCCCATCATTCCTGATAGAGGCCTAGGGGATTGCCATTTGTTAAAACCACTAAACATAATTTATAGATGTAGTAACTCATTGTTTCTTCTTAGAAAAGATACAAATCAATTTTCTGATAAACAAAGTTGATATAACTAACACAAAATAATCATTAAAATATAAACTGAACTCGTTTTAAGACATTATCAAGAGCATATCATGTCAGAATTCTTGAAAAAAGGGACTTTTTCATCCATTTTTACAAAAAAACAACAAATGTTAAGTGTTTGGAATCAAATGTACATTACCACTGTCTTCTCTCTTACTTATGATACTGGTCTGTTAGTACTACTGTTGCCCATACACTGCATAGAGAAATTTCAACATGACTTTGTGGTATTTCTGGTAACAAAATCCAGAGAAATATGTCCATCTTTGTTTATTATACAGAATGTCAGATAAACCATTGATACATGCTGACAAGTAGGTCTGATCAGTCTAATCTTACATAATATAATATCCAACCTCAGATGAAAATGATGAAAAGCATGTCATTGATTGAGTGATTTCACTACAAATAGGCCTCTATTCATCAGGTAAAATTTGTGTGGTCTCTCAGTTCAAACAGCATATTGTATGAATGACTCTAGATAAATGTGATATCATGATGAATGCCTGTTAAGATAGCCCAGAAGAGAGGCTAAACAGGGATGGCATACCACAAATGCCTGATGTCCAGCACCATACAAGATAGGGCAGATTGCTGTATTCTGAGAAAAGTCAGGATTTAGGTGTACAAATGCCAAATGAATGCATCTTTTTTTAAGGGTGACCTGTTTCACTTGGCACAAGCTACAGAGAAGCCAGATACCAGGTACTGGGAAAAAGCATTATGCTTCACCTTATTGAGAATAACAAAAGAAGTAAAGTTGAATTTATTTGGTATTGGGCTGATGTAATCTTTGAAATTTTTAGGGAAGTGCATTTTTACCATGTCCCTTATCTTTCTTGCAATATTCAGCAAAGAAAACAAATTGAGTGTCTAATATGATAAGATTGAAAACAGCTGAATACAATCTATTGCTATAATTGTCCTGTGTTGCTCTTGGGTTCAAATTAGCAATATCTCCATGGCCAATATGATTAGGATCGACAGACTGACATGAAATGGATATGTATGCAGAAATGATTTCCTACAATTATATTTGTCACGACTGGTTTCTACCTCAGGGACATTAATGACATGCACAGCTCTACATGGAGTGATAAAGTAATGGTAGTATCATGGTAATAAGTAACAGTAATTGAGTGTGCAAAATGAAAGGGGGAATTCACACTTTCTCCAGTGACAACCCCTTGTCAACACCTTTAACTGGCAAACACCAAACACTTTCTTAATCCTCTTAAACATTTCTAAATTGTTGTACCACCAACCTAGGAATATGATTGGAATGGCCACCAACACAGGAAAGCAATATTTACTACAGCGTGACTTGCTACATGATTACATTTGGCCTAAATGGACATGTGAAAACTACCATGTGTGATAATAATGTCTTTCGATAGACAGTTGGTGGCAATCTTAGGGAAACAACACTGTCATGAGAGTCATCAAGTTGTAAATAATCTGGGACAACTATTTATCTTGTGCTGGCCTTCCCAATGACTTCTCCTGTGACGAGTGTGGCACGTTATTCTGCTAAACTATAGTTTAAATATAAAACGTTAACACTCATGAAAAACAATATACATGATTCTCAAAATTTGGACTGGCAGTTTCAAGCACATTCTAAATTTACAATGTAACATGAGTGACATTAAGCTGATCATCATCATCAAAACTGGTACAATCCTCTACTAACCAGATGGTATGAAACAAGAAAGAGGAACAGGCAGCCCTTGACATTTGTTATGTCTGAAAAAAGGACTCAGAAGTATTCCCTTGCAACGATTATGAATTATCAACAATACCAACACCGGATGCAGCGCTTACTGCAGCTGTTGGTTATATTCCATCAGCAATCTGAAAGCAAAATACCATACAAGAACACCCAGGGACGGTCCAGGAAGGGCTGTGGAGGATGTGAGAAAATGTTCAATTTCAAAATCAGCTGGTCATGCCAGCTTTTACCTTTTCCAATACGCTACTAGTATCCTGTTTTCTGTTTCAGTTCTTTTTTCATCTTCCTGGTATAACTTCATTTTTCATTCT